AAATGGACCACAAGTGGCCAGATCGGCCCTGAGAAAAATAAGGCCAAGAACAGCCAGAACAGATACGCCCTCCGCGAGACCAAAGAGCCCCTGAGTCACCCCGAGGTCTCTCTCAGCGTTCAAAAGGGTCATTTATAGGCCAGAGGGTCTAAAAGTATCTGTAAGATCCCTCAAGCAGCCAGAGTGCTTCCAGTGACCTAGAAGGGCCCACTGAACGACAAGGATCCCCTAGTGTCAAGATGGGGCCTGATGAGCAACCAGAGGTGGTTTTGGTGCTGTCTGTATTTCTGCTCTGGCAAATGCTCTGTTTTGGCTCTTTTATTTAATAGCGTCATTTTTAATCGCATCATGGAAAGCGTTTTCACATGGAGCCCCTGAAAGCCTGGGGACTTCCCCATGTATGACGTTCACCGGGCCGGTGAGGTTTGCTACCCCCCCCCCCCCCTCTCCCCAAATCCACCCAGGAGCTCCAGCCATGCAATAAAGGCGTCGAGCTTTCGACTGAGACCTCGCACTACATCACCATTACCGTAGGTCATGTGCAATCGTTTAACCGCTATGTGCAACGGTACTATGGTGCAGTGGTACCAGTGGTACAATCACACAATCTCCATATGTTCGTCAGTCATGAACTCGCGCTCTGTGTGAACTGAGGCGCTGAAAGAGCAGCCGGTTTGGATGTTAATGCAAGGTACCTCTGGCTCAACGCCGATCAACGGGAGACCCTCGCGGGATGAGAGACAATTGCCAGAATTAGCATCCCCAGTCCGCACACCAGCCATCTCCGAGCAAAGCGACCATTTTTACACGCAACTGACTTGACACAGAACTGACCTCTGGCGGCATGTAGCGGTTGCGCCGGCAGATGGCGGGCGTCTCGAGATGTTCCGACAGGTGCGAGACGTACTCAACGCGGCGGCCCTCGGTGGAGCCCCGACACTGCGGATGTAGTCGAACAGCTGCAGTTTCCTGCACCATCTCGTTCAGGCATATACCCCCAAGCATCGGGCAGACGGGCACTGCCGGACGCAGGCATTCGTGACCATCTCTTGGTCGTTGGATTCCTCCGGTCCTGACGTAAATAAAGACATCGTAGTGGTGTCTCACGCCAACAATTAGGGGCTGAAACAGCCGGCTGAAATGGGGTTTTCTGCCGGCCGGTTTTACGCGTTCAAGACTCTATAACGGTCTACGGCCGGCTCTATGATGACTGGGCTGACTATTAGAATAAGACGAAACCTGGCATAAAGAAAATGGCTACAAGAACATGTCTTAAACGATGAATGTAAGCCGAAACAACAAGCTAGGAAAGCACTTGTAGTGCTACCGTGTGTGGAAGGCAACAGTTGTGTGGGGGGGGGGGGGGGGCGGGAGGGGCAAAGCCCCTTCACTTTCACTGCACGCTTACAGTCTCTCAGGACAGGCCCATTTAAATTGATACAGATATGTCGTTGGCATTGGCGTTGCCCGGCCCGGCGACTGCTCTAGACAACACAATGTCACATTTGTAATATCCTCATCAATACGCCACCGCTAGAGTTCGCCATGGAACATGGGCGTGATATCTAATGGGCTGTCAAACTGGTCACGCAAAATTGCCACTCTGCCGGACAAGCTGAGTCCCTTGTAGTTTTTCAACTCCCCGAGAGGTGTCGTGGTAATGGGAGCGGCGCTTCCAGAAACCAAGTATCGTCTGTCATATTTTGACCCTTCCTAGTGGTGTGCTTACGCATCAATCGGATTTTTTAGTTGTAGTTACATTCATATGTTCAACCGAAAGTGCCAAATAGGCCCAAATAGTATCGATATGCCTCAGATGGTGGCCTTTCCTACCTTTCACGAACCATTAGTTCCATAAAAACACAAAAAAGCGCGAACATGATATACATAGGCTGGTCGCTTACTATTTTCCGAAGTTGCCGAAACATGCTTTTATAAAGGGCTGAGCGTAAGTTGCTGTGGACGCTATAACAGGTATTCGAATACACCGCCTAAGGCACCACAAAACATGTGTGGGCACCTGTGCAATGTTCAAATATACACTGCATACTATCACAGAACGGCCGTAATGTCCATATTATGTCTATGCCAGGCCGCTTTTTTTACGCGCCGTTACCCAAGAACAGGTAACCAGGAGTGCCCCTCCCTCAATCCCAGCGACGCAGTAAACCGTACGTTAACACCAGAAAACATAAAATCAAGTCGCGGCACTCCCAGCTAGGAAGATGAAACAAACTTTAAAAAAAGACAGGCGAGGAGGTGGAGCAGACCCGAGGGAATTGTGTTATGTGAGAGGTAGGGAAAAATCATAGATGAAAAGGCTTAAAGTAGTCATTAGCCAAAATCAGCTAATGACAGCCCGCTACAACCGCCCAATAAGCTACAACCACTCAATTCTCCGTGTTAGTAAGGGTTATACAGTCACAAGTCGGGGGGGGGGGGGGGGCAATTACCTGGTCATTTTTGTGCTGGGCTTTGAGCTGCATTTCCAGGGAGTCCGCCCAGCTAAGCAGAGCTTGTTGCTGGGAGACCTCCCGGAGCCAGCGCCATGAATTTGGGTATATGTGCATGACTTTATATCAGACATTGATTATGAAACATGAAGGAGGTCAAATATGAAGTGCGTTGGATATGTACAGCACAAGGATGGCAATGTCTTCAAATATGTTTGTTACGTTAATATGTGTTCACGAAATGCTTGCGGATGATGTTCTTAACGATGGTTTTCGATACAGGGATATCAGCTATTCTTGGAAAATATGAAACCGTAATGTCGTTCCACAGCTTGGGGCCAAGACAGGATGCTGTAAATAGTCTATAATTACGATAAAGCTTGTTATCACAAAAGAGATATCGCTATATATCGCTTGTTATCACAAAAGAGACCAGCTGGCCACGTGTTTATTCATGATGGATATAATGTTCCGAATAAACATGGCTCACTTAAGCATTCGTTCGACATGGTCATTGCACATAGTCAATATCTTACCCACAACTGGAACATCCAGGAGCACATCAAAACTATGGAAAACATGAAAGTGAAGAAATCAAGCTAAAAAAGAGTAGTGTGCGTCTGGCTTCATAAACCACGCTGTTCATCACACAGGTTTTATCGAAGCCAGACGTGCAGGTAATGCATACGCTTCTCTTGATCTCGCGGGTGGGGCCCTGCATATCAGTGAGAACGAAGCGCTCTATTCACATGGTCGGTTATGACGCTGTTCTTAACTTATTCGATTACACGTCTTATTTTAGTTCTAACTGGTACAGCTGTCCAACTTCCTGTGCTATGTAACACAAAACGTGCCTTGTATTTGAAACTTGCACTGAATGCATAACTGGTTGGGATTTTGAGAGCGTATGGATGCTCACGAGTTCCAGAAATCGTGCTTATGTTCATGTACGTCAGACATGAACATCTCAACGATAATGTTTGTCTTGGCTTTGAACGCCAGGATGATAGATGCCGGGTAGAACATAACTCAGTTCAAGGAAAACTACGATGCAACACTAAGAAATATACTGGATGTGCAATGTAGGCTTCATTATCAGTTTATAGTTAACGTGAGAACCCGGTAAGTGAAGGTAGTGTGGGTGCAGGTGACACAATAGTAAGCGGATTTAACATCAAGATGAGTGTTAAGCCCAGAATTTTTGGGGGAAGCTCTTACAAAATTTTACGGTATATTACAATGGCAGCATGTATTGGCTGTTAGCAAACAATTCACAATATTCCATGAAAAGTCGTTGAAAATTCTAGAGCACCCGGCTTCAAAAATACAACCTTTGGATTATGGATCGGGCACTAAGGCTGCGAGTTCGTACACGCAAAACTTGTCATGCAATTTGCTTCATTAGTCAATTTTTTTAGAAGGGTTGACGCCCTCAGCAAAACAAGAGCAGGTTTTTTCATTTTTGGCCGCATTTCGATTCAACCTACCGAATAATTACGAGACCATCGCCTTTTCCAGGCAAGGAGAAGCTTGCTTTAAGTGTGATCGATGCTCTGTTGTCCCTTTATGGGCGCAAAGTGTCCCCAGAAGTCGGCGCGCACTAAAACCCCAATCATCATCATCATCTATTCTCCCTTTCGTTTCCATGATACACGCTCCGTGTGTTGTTGCTTTGAACGCAACCACATCTTCTGGATTTTTGTCTACAAAATATAATTTTCAGATTTATGCGTTAGAAACATGACATTTCTTAGATGCGGAGCTGCTGCTCTTTATATCTTAATGTCTTTTATTCGGAACCTTAGTGTTGTGCAATGTGCAGCGCTAGAAACCGATTCGGTGTTCAATTTGTCTTTAGATACGGTCAAATCCTTAAGAATCGCGCTGCCTCCACGCGGTTAGCGTGAGCTGCCAATCATCTTATAGCGATTTTGATCTACCTGCGTATTGACTCAGACACTTCCCGTTTTGAAGCGGTTTCCACAGCGCAGCATGTGATGTGGGCTGGGTAATGACAGTGCTATAAAAACAATAAAGTGAAGTAAAGTGGTGGCGAAGTGAAGCGCATAAGGTGAAGTGCGTCTTGCATTGATATACTCCAGGCGCAAATATTTAGACGATTGTGTATGCCTAACACATCGCATAAAGAAAAGTAATGGCAGTGAAGTAAAGTGGTGGCGAATTGTTAAAAAACGCTAAAAGCAGGTTCTTCCCGACTCTGTCTCACTTTCCTCCCAAAGTTAGGCAGCTGTTGACACCTCCAGCTAAAAACTGCATCCTAGCGCCGATGTGTTTTCTCGATCTGTCTCGGTGGGAGATGCTGTTGTCGGGCACCATAAGCATTTGTTGGGCATCATGGGTCGAAACCAGGTCACGGCAATCGACGGAGGGGTTAATGTTGTGTGACTGTAGACGTTGTTGGATTCGTATGGCCTCGAGAATAAAGCGTGTAAGCTGAACTGGGCGACTATTAAAGACTCCGGCAGGGAGCCGTATGGCGGACTTCAGGCTGCTGCGTAGCACTCGCGTTAGGCGTGTTCGAAACGCCTAGTGTCGTTTGGCTGATCATGGCCAGACGATTACCACTATCGGTTTCGTCGGGTGGTTTCGACCGCCAGGATTTCATAGCTCGTTCATTGAATATTCACGTCAAAGTGGAGGTAGGCGTGTTAAAATGGTTCGTCCGATGTCCGAACGTAGCGGTTTGCACATTCTTGACGTTTTTGTGGCTACTACCCGACCGGTTTGTTTTCATTCTACGATAATCCGTCCTGGTAGAATATCGCAGCGCAGGCAGCTTTTTGCAGCCTATAGAACTTGAAACTTGTTGCACCCTATCAAACAACACCTTTGGCCATCACGTTTGTGAAAGCGAGCGAATGGTTGTCTTCCACCATATCTGAATAATCCTGTCTATGACGCAACACCCTGTATCAGGTAAGCACTGTAAAACGCACATTCGTATGCACTGACCTTTGAATTTGTGGGCCATCAGGTAGATAGGCAATATCTCGTTGATGCTGCCCACGCGGCAGGAGTCCACCTGGCAGTACTGCATGCTGCCCGCCTGCAGGAACTGCTTGAACATCACCTTGTTCTGGCACATCTCGCCTGTGGCCACAACCGATGCCGTACGGGGCGAGCGCCTGCCGGGAGTTTGCGAACTTATCGTGGGGCCACGGCACGGAGCCACGAAAGCTTTCTGAGCTCATCATCTTGACGTAAAAACGAGCAATTACATAGAAAGATCAATACAAAAAAGCATTCGTTGGGAGCAGACACGGAGCGGAACCACAGTGTCGATATCCTCAGTAACCCAGTGCTTTTTCTGCCTGACAAACAGGGTGGTTTATCGACCAAAAGCGTTAACAATTTGGAGCAAACGACGCAAAGCTGAATGGGACCGTGCATCTTAACATGTAACAGCTGCGGGCCATCGCGAGTGAGGCCGTCCATCTTAACATGTAACAGCTGCGGGTCATCGTGAGTGAGGCCGTCCATCTTAATATGCATAGCTGGAGGCCATTGTTTTGTAGCTGGAGCCAACTCGAGCGGCGAGTGGTGACCTGACCTTGGCGATCTGGGCGTGGCCAAGCACGTCGTCAGGCGACGTCGGCTCCTCGATCCAGAGCGGCCGGAACTCGGAGAGCTCTTTCATCCAGTAAATAGCCTCGTTCACGTCCCAGCGCTGGTTCGCGTCTACCATCTGAGCTCGAAAGAATGAATTAGGCACCCTGCAGAGACCAATCCAATCCGTTCACTCGTCGAGGGCAGAAATGTGAGGCTTTCAACCGTTCATACAGGACATTAGCCGGCTTCAATGTTGTAATATCTCAACGTGTGTCTAGCTTAACAGGCGCTCGGGCGGGGAATAGCAACTTGACCTTTTCGTAAAGGTTTTCCCGGAACAGCTCAAGAAGCTGTGGCGTGGCAACGCCAGGCACTGTCTAGCTGTAGACAATTGACTAGCCTAGCTTTTGGTGTAACACATTTAAAATGCCTGTCAAGGTCGCTGATCTGAAGAGGGTCAAAATCAGGCCATGGATATCACTCTATCATCTAGGCCCTCCCAGCTAGACCTCATGCCCCGAAACCCCTGACCACATTGTATGGCCTATGGACCGCGGACCCAAACCTATGGTCTCTGGGATTCTGATCAAATCCTGCGGCCCCCCGGCCCACTGACCAGACCCTGCCATACCCGACTCCATGACCACACCGCGCGGTCCGCGGTTTCACTGATCAGACCCTGTGGCCCGGTCTATTGGCGCGACCCTATGACTTCAGTCTACTGACTAGCCCTGCCGCCCTTCCAGTGACCGGCCCGCGCCATATCCGGCCTCACCACCAGACCCCACGGTCCTCGAGCCGCCGCTCTGACCTTGTCGTCTCCACCCCGAGTGGCCAGACCTTGCCGCCTCTGCCCAACTGACCAGACCCTGCGGCCCCCGACCCATTGGCCGGACCTTCTGCCCCCAACCCACTGACCAGACCCTGCCGTTTCCCCAGCGACCAGACTCTGAGGCCCCGGCCACTGGCTGGACCCCCGCTGTCTCTGACCCACTGATCAGACCTTGCGGTCCGGTCTGCTGGCCTTGCCCTATGACTATGGTTCACTGATCACACACCCCGCGATCCCCAGTTCACTGATTAGACAATGCGATTCACAGTCAACTGACCAGACCCTGCGACCCCCAGTCCACTGGCCAGGCCCTGCGATCCCCAGTCCACTGGCCAGACCTTGCAACCCCCAGTCCACTGGCCAGACCCTGCAACCCCCAGTCCACTGGCCAGACCCTGCGACTCACAGTCAACTGACCAGATCCTGCGATTCACAATCAACTGACCAGATCCTGCGAGCCCCAGTCCACTGGCCAAACCCTGCGAGCCCAGTCCACTGGCCAAACCCTGCGAGCCCAGTCCACTGGCCAAACCCTGCGAGCCCCAGTCCACTGGCCAAACCCTGCGAGTCCCAGTTCACTGGCCAAACCCTGCGATCCCCAGTCCACTGGCCAGACCCTGCGATTCACAGTCAGCTGACCAGATTCTGCGAGCCCCAAGCAACTGACCATGCGCCTGTTCGGTCCGATCGTCTCGCGGACGACCCGCAAGCGTCGTCGGTCGTCGCTCAGGTCCTGGCCCACTTTGATCTTGAACTCGTCCCAGCCGGCCTCCATGAACTGCAGGCAGAGTGCGCGGATCTTCTCGTCCGGGTAGCCCAGCCAACCTGCAGGCCCAGTGATCTGCCTTGCGCGGTGTCCAGACAAATGGCGGGCCCAGCGGTCTGCCTTGCGCGGTATCCAGACAAATGGCGGGCCCAGCGGTCTGCCTTGCGCGGTATCCAGACAAATGGCGGGCCCAGCGGTCTGCCTTGCGCGGTATCCAGACAAATGGCGCGCCCAGCGGTCTGCCTCGTGCCGAATCCAGATAAATAATCCAAGGGTTTTTAGTTGAGTTTCTTTTTACCGAATGCATTAAACTGAACGGTACTGTGTCGACATGTTCTCTTTTTTGTCGCTTTACAAACCGGAGAAATGTCTAACGTCGAAGAGCTATTTGCTGACATGCGTTCTTGCAGACCTATCAGATTTGCAAAGTGCTTATAAGCTGAAATGTATATTTACCTCATGCCCATGTCTTGAAATGTCGCTTAGTTGGATGCTAATGTCTCAAACTGTTTTTGTTTTTTTTTGTTCTCTTTGGTCGAATGATTATTGCCGGTGCTTTCTTAAAGGCGAATGATCACTAAGCCATCCTGCAATACCTACGCTTGCGCAGATGCTAAAGCCACCCTGCGATACCTACACCTGTGCAGAGGTTAAAGAGAATACCTTGATTTTTACGATCTTCCAAAGATCACCGCCCATTTCAATGCCAAGCGATGTCATCTATGGCGGTGTTCAATCCTTCTGAACTTATGAACGTTTTAATGACCGTTTTTGGTGATGGACACAGTAACGGCGAAGGCTTTGAGCCTATTTACCAGTTTGGCTCCCAACATGCTGCTTACCCCTAAGTCAGTTCGTTCCCAAACATGCCTGAATAATGGTTTCACCTGACATGTTACTGGTTGTTGTGAGTCACGCATATTTATTAAATTTCCATCTCCTCCAATCGGTCGGTCGGTTACGGTCCATCAAACTTTTCCCATCAACACGGAGCTTAACTTATGAATGACTCCTTACAGCCTGCAGAGCTACCACTTCCGAGAATTTCGGTCGTCCAATTAACATTATTACAAAATAAATTCGGTTGTTTGGTCGTTCGACGCAATCCTCAACACGGTCCCGCCACGGGCGGGTGAATCGAAAGGCAGGCGCTCTAACCAACTGAGCCAATGGGACGGACAAATCTTTGGAGCTAAGTGGGACGGACAAAGCCGGTCAGCATACGTCAGTACCACTTACTTCGCCTAGCCACTACTTTAATTAGGTGGCTGTTCTCCTGACGTCGTTTAGTCAGAGCGGCAAACGATATCAACGACCAACGTTCTCCAGGAGCGGGACGCGTGGCGATAGTAGCATAAGTTCCGCGTCTGCCCAGCGGTACCGCATGCCGTCTCGGTGCCGTACCCGCAGCGGTGGTGTAAGCGGGATACCCCTCGGCCACCATGCGTTGCTCCCGCTGCTTCTTCAGGGCGGGGTCGATGGTGAGCATTTCTAGCGCCTCCTCTTTGCTGAGCACGTCCGAGCTGCGGTGGTGACCAGGTGAATTACGGTCAGTACGGGCTCCAACCACAGTCAAAGCATTCGATTTCGTGCTTTGTGCCACAGAAGTCAGCAATTGATGGGCGAGTGTTGAAGCCTCCGCGACTGGCACACAATGAGAGATTGAAGATGCTTTCGGAGGACACGGAACACAGGTATCATGTGAAATATGTAGCATATCTTATATAACTTAATGTTAGGTAATCGGTCACATGAAACCAGAGGCTAGCGCTCTTCTCGGTGTTAACCTGCATTCACTAATCCGCGACCTAGGTCTCCTACAGCTGCACCTACATGTAGCGGAAGTCCATGACATCGACCAGTTGCTGGGGCGTCATGTCAACCAGCAGGCGCCAGACAGGCTTGCCCTCTCTGCGCGCCCACAGATCCCAGATGGCGTTCACCAGAGCGGCGGTAGCCAGGTGAACAACGCCCTTCTGCGGTCCGATCTGAGGAAGTCACGTCACAGCATCAGCAAACTGATCTACGTTGACAACTCACGAATCCGTATCTCACACTCCTATGCTCCGTTTCTGACAATCACGTGTGACGTCTGTGTGCCTACAACACACATGCCACGCTAGGGATGTTTTCATGATGGCAGTGCTTCAGCCAATAGGAATACGAGCCACAATAAACATGATGATGGTCTTCTTTGTAAACAATGTTGCCAACAGCCTGAGCCCGCACATGCTTCAAGCCTTGCAACGGACGTTTTAGTATCACGTTCGTCTGCATAACACAGGCCAGTTGTATATGAATGCCCAGTATGAATGCTCAGCTTGCAGAGTCTTGCTCTTCCGGAGCCCTGTGCTGCTGCATTTGCGTAGATCAGTTTAAAAGAATCTACCTGAATACAGTCAAGATATAATCTCCATACTACATACACATACAACAGTAGTTGGCAAAGGGTTGGTCATGAGATTCTTTGGGATTGGGGTTTTAATTCATTGGTCGCGGGCGGGAGGGTTGAGTCACGGTAACAACGGCGCGCATCATTGCAGCGCCTTGCAGGCTATTGCACTAATTACGCAATGCCCGCGCAATGTCCTTCATGCCAAGGCGAGAGGCGGACGAAATCATACGACCCCACTAGCTGATCGCGTCGTCAAGTCCCCATAACGACGACGATCATGCAAGGTGACAACCAGGTAGCAATGTGGACATTGCAAGACGGTGTGATGGTCTCATTGGCATACATAAATGTAAAATAATATACACAGATGCTTGATACTCTACACAATCTAATTTGAGGAGGCTGTAAAACATAACTTTTAAGTGTCAAAAACCTAAGGAAGCCTTCAAGAATAACTTGCAGGTAAGAACGACGCAGAAGAGTGACCGGCGTCTATTGTTTTCTCTGACACAGCTTTAGTCAAAGTTTTAGTGATTCACCTAAATCTGCGTAGCGAAATTTGGTGTTACACCCGCTTGACCGTAATAACATGTGTGTGACTCAACTTTTGTATCTATGTAAGTGATTTAATCGGATTTTATTTAAGAATGAACATGTTGCCTTATGATGTAATAAAGGCAATAGCGAGGCTTTGTTCAGTTCATACAATAACTTGCCTACAGCAATCGGATAAGCAACGGGCGAGAAGGGCTGCCAACGGGTGCTACCAATTTTCGTCACAGCCGTAACGGACCTAATCCTTGGCGCCACGCGCATAAATTGATTTGCAGATCGGACAGCAATGCGGTTCTTCTATGTCGCTGCACCTTGGTTTCTCATCGGCTTTGTTGCATGCCAATGTAACAAAGCACTTGTGCACGCTACGCGAACGCTTGTCTCGGGTTTAGAATCAGCGATATATCCGTCTGTTCACGTTGTCAGCTTTTAAAGTTGTTAACATGATCTGCCTGGCCAGCCCGTTAGTTTGCCTCAGGCACGAGGGCACGCACGGAGTGGGACGGATCGTCAGCATCACTGCTTTGTTTCAGTTCTAGTGGCAGATGTCTGGTCAATGGCAGCTTCCCATGGTTTAGCGGCTTGGCCAAATTAATGTGTAATGCTCCCTTTCTTATGCTATGGTGAATTTGATTCAGGTTTTAACTGGAATTATCCCAGTCCGCGTGTGACATGAAGTTTCAAAATCAGAAAGACCAGGCATTGAAGCGAGGCGAGTTACCCAGCCTAGCACTCAAAAGTCATGTCATATCAAAGCGAGGGCCGTCTGCTTAAGGCCTTAACTAAAATTGTTCATTTCCGCTTATGGTGTAATGAAAAAGCATAGAATGCGACTGGGGCTATGCACTTTACCCACCAAAGCATGGAAAGTCATTCTCGAAAGGGCAAACGATTATATTGGGTTGTCATAGCATCCATTCACATTTGTTTTCGGTTCAATCGTAAAGAAAGAACTGGTACACAAAGGCGGTTTCCTTCTCCATGTTCCCTACCTCAGCGGGTGACGAGATGCAACAATAAGCTGGCTGATCGCAACGTGTCAAAGTAACAGTCGTCACGCCCTGAAATCATCTCAGACGTCGCCCAGCGAAGCGGGCGGGTCACACTTGTCTGAATAACTATTTGAGGAAGGCGCGTCTATCTGTTTATCCGTGCCGTTTTGTGTACCGTCGTGCACGGGCCCGGACCGCGGGTTGCTGAGTGAAGAAATCTGGACAAGACGCGCGGGCACATGACGCGGTTTTCCACGGGTAGGTCACGAGCCGGTGCGGTCCGGGGTTCTGGAGTGGCACGTGGCGAAAGGACCGTTTTTAGATCCATCGGTTTTCACGGACGGCCCGAAAAGCCGACCGACGGCAAAGCCAACGAGTAGCCGTACGAATTGTGGTCACATCTCGGCAACCACGGGTCAGAGCAACAAGAAACAGCACTCTATGGTATACAATTCAACGGGAAATCACGTGGTGCCAGATCTGTGGTTGCGCGTGCCACATGTCACGCGCACAGAAGCGGCCAACATGATTTGGCCGGTTTTTATGTTTTCCAAGGTTTAAGCTGCATTTCGACAGCCAGCGCTTTAACACGCGCCCGAGTGGCCGGTTGAATACCCTTTGTTCGGGTGGGGAATCAATTTTACCCCACTGAGATCTCAGGAACTAAGAGAGCTAGAAATACCAAATTTGCAGAGTGTGTTGGTCTGTACCAGAACTACCTCGGGTTAAATTTTGACGTTCCCCGGCCATGACCTTCGGATCAAACAAGGTCAAACAAGGTCAATTTCCAGTTTGGTCTCCAAATCCCCAAGAACCTAGATACCTGTTCTAAACAAACGGGCACGTGATCACTCGAGGTCAGTGACCTTGTTTGACCTTTCGAGGGTCATGATGACTAAAATCATACAAGACTGCTTTAAGTTTTGCATTGGAATAAGCGACAAAAATTGCGCTAAGCAGTGTGTTCCAGAAAAAAATTGACCTGGGTCATTTAGGTCAGTGACCTATTCTGACCGTTGAGAGGTGTATGGAAGATGTATAATGCGGTTCCTGTTATTGATAAATTAAAAATGACCACCAAAAACTACCCCATACAACCAAACCCTAGAGAAATAAAACAGATTGGCTTTGACATTGGTCTCACGTTCAGAACTGATCTCAGGTCAATGAGTTTGTTCAGTCAGTTGTTGAGTGCCTAAGAAAGTATCCCAAAGATGTATGGTCTCGTCTAACACTTCGTTGTTGCATCAGATTGAACCATCTCCTATAGATTGACTCGCAAAGTCCATGGCCCGACTTGGGCTGCCGTAGGTCAGTGGCCTTACAAGGTGCGTCTAATTTTTTTTATACCAAACGATCTGCTATTCATTTGTCTACAGCTATGCAAAGTTTGGCGTGGCTGCGCCGCGCCGTTCGGAAACCATTCTGGAAAAAATTTCGGGGGTCAATTTGACCCCCACTCGAGCGCGCGTTGAGGTGCAATCCAAATTTTGCGTGCCGACCGACGTACCGTCTGCAATTTATTCGCCCAACACAAGTTTGCGCGACGCACGGTTGCGCCATTAATCGTTGAGCAGTCGGGAATGTTAGCATTTCTGGAAATGATTAAGCTGCAGCCAGGACCGTGGCGAAATTAATATTCATTGCAGGCACCAATCCATTACCTTATTTACCACCCGATTTACCACCCACTTATTCGTCACTCCGTGCACTGCGCGCACCAGTCGTCACACCTCAAAATCTATACCTCGACTTGCCCTGTCCCGTCCATATATTATTTTTACCTAAACACTTGTATTCCACAGCTATGAGTCGCTCAAGTTTCACCGGTTTGATCGCCTCAGTTGCTCGCAGCGGGCATTTCAAGAAATAACGACGAAACAAGCACGCGCCGCATGTTGCCGACGTCCGGCAACCGTCATTCATCCATTATTCATTTATGTATTCATTTATTCCTTCATTGCGGCGTTGCGGGAGCGATGTGTTTTCAGCGCAGATCACTTCTGCGGTTAAATAGCTCTCACCCTGGCCTCAAGAGGTTTGTTTTGGCGGCACTTACGGTCTAACAACACATAAGCATTGCAGTGGCATTGGCAAGTGGCAGTGGTGAAATTTAGGGGAAGCACGCCGAAGCAAGCGTGCAAACACATCACAAAAAACTATGTAAGACCCGTCCACAACATTTTGATACAAACGTTAGGAAAGTTGGCCAGCGCTCAGTGCTGTGTTATCATCAAAGCTGTAAGTAATTCACCCCATGGTGTCACACGGGAAAGTTGGCTTGCGGATAAAGGTCAACCTTCGATACTATGTGCATCTTCTGGGCCAGCAATACAACATCTGCCCGGTCCTGGTTAGATATCTATGAGAGAGGCTAAAGATTGGCGGAAGACTTACAAAGGTTCACGATTTTGGTGACTTATCATCACGCGTGGACACGATTTATTTAGAAGACAAGGAAGGTGAAGTCGTTGGCCAAACGCTGACATGTCCTATTTGCCTGCATACTATTGGATTGAGCTGCGTCTGTCTGTCTGTCCCGTTCTGCGGAGCGCCATGTAAGGGCAGAGCGGCGGACGATGCATGACAAATTTGGACATGACGCGCGGGCGCGCGAGGCGGTTTTTCACGGGCGGCTCGCACGCCGCTGCTGTCAGGGCTCAGGCGTGGTATGCGGCGGAAGCGCCGTTTAGGGGCCCATCGTATTCTCGGGCCGCCCGCACAATATCAATGGGCTCAAAACGGCCCATCTCTCAGGACGCCCGTACGATATGTCCAACGACAAAGTGAACGTGGCGCCGTACGAAACCGTGGCCCACATCTCGGCAGCCAAGGGTCGGATCGGCAAGGAAATTACATATTTAGGTATATAACTAAACGGGAATCGCGCGATGCCAGATGCTCTCAGGCAAGTGCCACCAATCACAGTCACAGAGGCGGGTCGAGATGGACCTGTCCAACTTTTACGGATTTCCACGTCTTATAGCGTCGCTGGAAGCCGGAGATGGTAGAATCGCGGATCCAATTTCAAAGCGTCGACCAATGTACCGTCTGCAATGACGTGACCCCACACCAGGTTATAAGGCGCACGGTTGCGTCGGTAATCGTCGGCAAGGCCAGGAAAGTCAAAATTTCGAAAAACGGCGAACTTTACATCGCCACGTGCACAAATTAATGGTCTGTATCGTTAGATGGCCTTGGTCTGTATTTACCATCCATTTGTTCGTTATCATGTACCCTGTTCCGTCCATACTTCGCTTTTAACTAAAAGGTTGCAATTCACTTTTTCACGTCGTCAAAATGCCAGCAATCGATCACTCAGACGCGGCCAGTGAGAATTTCAAGTAAAACGATTGAAAAGGCAGTAGCAATAGCCCTATTCCTCGGAGAAAAACCAGGAAAATGGAGATATAGATGCGTTGATATTTCGACAACATGCCTTTACATGCCTGGTGGTGTTTTCTCTTAACTGGGAACGCAGCTATATCCTCAACAGCTCACAATATGGATAGGCTACTCCTATTTCTTAAACATTCTACTTCCGAATTCAGCTTACCCATCGCAGTTGGCTTTCGTTCACCATTCCATCCCAAAAAACGGCGAATTTATCGACGATAGAGTCGAGCGTCTTGCCAACCACCAAGAACTTCAAGGCCTTGACGCACTCGCATACTGAAAGATACGATTAGTGTAAACAAACATATGAAACAGCATCACATGCAGACAAAACGCGTTACGCTCTTTCAGCCAGTCAAAAACACATCCAGAATAAATCAGCCGGGCCGACAAAGCGCAGTAAACGTGAGGCCTTTATAACAAGTGCGCTGGCTATCTGCACAAGCCACATTCACCACCACATTACAGGCAACATTCACGCGTCTTCCGGCCCCAGGATCGCCGGATCGCCGGGGAAAGCGGGGCAAGCCATTGGGGCTGCACCACACTGACACCCGCTGCCCGGTCGCAGCCAGCTCTCACCGATCTCGTTTCCCCTGCCGATGTCATGCCATTGGGGCTGCACCACACTGACACCCGCTGCCCGGTCGCAGCCAGCTCTCACCGATCTCGTTTCCCCTGCCGATGGTGAAGGTCGTGCCGAATCCCTGCAGCTTAGAGTTGGTCTGCAGCACGACCAGCGTGGCGGAGTAGTCAGGGTCGGTGTGCTGCCGGTGAGAGGACGAAAGGCCAGCACAGCTGATCATGACATCAGTCCGTTCATAATCTCTAACCCTTCATTGAGTCGGTTCACAGATAATCGCGGCCAAACACATTGATTAGGATTCATATAACTGCGGAGAATACAAGATATGCCAAAGGTACACCAGAGCACTTAGGATAACAATTTTTCGTCGGGTGGCTGACGAATCATTAGGGGCATTACACACGCAGCAAATCGCAAACCTGAAACAAACTGCCTTGCCTAATTACATTACCGAATTCTTGAAATGCCTTTCTTAAATTGAAAGAAAAAATACTCGGACTGCGAAAAAATGTAAGAACTCAAATAAACAATCAGTATAAAATCACAAAAATAGTAATATCAATAAAATATCCATGTCAGACCACATGTTAGTTCTGAAGAGGCCGACTGGTTACGATATTGTTCATGACGGGTGGTTTGTTGTCTCGAATAAACATTGCTTGCTCAGATTTTCGTTTGACATGACCATGGCACTTCATGGTTGTGTTGCCTCAGTTATGTTGCTGCTTATATTTCCATTCTATGAGTAAGGTCCTCGACCAAAAATTGGGGAAAATACATCTTAGTAAGCGACATTGTGCGGGGGGTTATTCTAACTCAACGGAACGAAGGGCGGCGTTAGTGACCTTCACCATGCATCGTAATCGTAGCGAGACGCCGTGTTAGTGACCGCTGAGTTAGTGATGTTGGCTTGAAATATTGACTATCGTTAAAATATTCGCTGTCCAGCACTACAATGCCATTAAACCAGTACCTCCTGATATATGGAAGGTTATAAACCCAAAGCAGGAATTTTGAGCTCATAATACCGATAAACCAGGAGCTTAAGGACTTCATTATATCATGTCCCAATTATGACCGCAGAGTAAAGGGGGCAATATTCGTGAAGATATGCGTCTCGGATAAGAATTAATGGGCCCCCCGAGCAAAAAACGCGACGTCCCCCCCCCCTGAGTATACCAATAGTTAAAAGCGAACCTATTTCCTCAAGCCTGACGCTTGCTTCAATGTTCTGAAGTGCGAAGGATTCTCTATAAAGGGAGCATGCCAATTTTTGTGCTTTTCACTTATGGTTTATGAGACGCGTACAAGTTGATCCGTAATGTCAATTTCTTGGAAGACTTCTGAATAGCTCAGAATTTCTTTTTGCACTAGCCGCTTCTGCAGGAAAAACCTCATTGGATTTCCTGCCCACCACTACGGAGGTAGCATATTTCATTTGCCTTGCTCTTTCCAATGTATGTCTTGTGATGTTTGAAATACACTAAGTTGTCAAAGTGTCTGTGTAATGAATGTTACGAATGCTTGAAACGCTCTATTCAGCAAAAACATCAGCGAACATGACGCAATTATCACGCCCCCACGAATTTGACGAGACGTATACTATAGCTTTGATTTCTTCTCTGCGGCGTTCACCACACAACCCTTTTCGGGGCGCACTTTGGCTTTGGAAGTGGGAGCACCACATGGTCCATTGTGACGCACTGGTTCAAACTTAAACCAAAGCACTTCTTAGGAACAGGCCCCTACCGCCCGCTGGGTCAATCACAAACGTTCTTTTTTGGCACCAATAGAGGTACCACGGCGGTTGTCACAAGGCCAGGGGTTGCGAATGCAGGTAAGAAACGTTGCACTTTTGCAACGCATTGGCAGCGTAATTTGGACGCAAACATAATTAAAGCCGATATCCTTATTATGCCTTGACGGTTCTGCTATGACACTTCCAAGTGCTTTCCTTAGACATAACTGGTCCTGAGGTTTTTCGTAGTATGCTTTTGAAATACGCAAAAAGGTGGGACCTTTGACCGGTGCGTCTCGTAAGTGTCCCTCGACTCATGGCGCCACGGAAGAGCCGGTTTTGCACGTTACAGAATTACCAAGCGTCTAATATGTGTAACTGCTGGTCAGGTACGATAGTAACAGCCCTGGTAAAACGACGATTTACTTCTTGAACCGTAACAGGGGTTGCGGGAGCCAGAGAGCAAGCATAGCCCGAAAAGTCCAGCCGTCCCTGAGATTCAAACGCTCAAGCAGTATAGCTCAAGTCTGGCACCATTGCGTTGCACTACGTTGTCCGACACCGCTGCCGCCGAACTCCAGGCATCGGGCAAATAAGTGTTGACGCTTGAAACACGTGCAATTTTGACAGTTAGGCAAAAGTGGCATATAGGTTGGCGATAGATAGTGAAGCGATTGCTTGCATGGTGCTGCAATAATAAGAACCGGCTGCCTACAATAAAATATATGGTATTTCGAACCTGGCGGGATATTTTTGCACAGTGTAGGCACAACGGACTTTAACGCTTCTATGATGTGTTTTACCGTGCACTCTTTGCTTCAGTCTCAAATTCCAGGTTCTACACTAAATAAGCTGCAAAGTCCCCTACATTTTTGCAACCATACCTTCATCAGATGAGTCTTAAAATTAACATTTTGTGGTGAGCTATAAAATATAATTCAAAGCTCTCCATCACTCCTTTCAAACACGCCCTTTTAAAGGGGTGTTCCACATTTAAATGGGGTTTTGAAACTAAGTAGCCATCTTGAAGACCTTTCGGTGCTGTTCGCAATCCTGCCTTTCTTAAGACCCGAGCCCCTTCAGTTTCTGAGCTACACGCCCCGAAAATAGGAAAGTGTACATCGGGGAGGGTATTTCAAAGTCACCTTTGCATCAATGACGTGATAACAACGTAATTCAAATCATGCCGTTTCATAAGCTATGCGACGATCAAGGTCAAGAAAAAAGATTGTCGAGGCGTTCATATCTGCCGTTCGTGAGCACAATTTACAGATATAACGGCCGTCAAATGGCTTTCAATCAATGTTGTGAGGAGGACGATGACGTAATCAAACCATGCTGCATTGGGAGTGCATTTACTAAACAGAGAATTGTGCTGTTTAGAGCAGCCGTTTTTTACTAAAAAAACAACAGTAGTTATATGTGGGCTTGCTTTATCATATCTGATATTTGCTTCAATATCTTCAAATGTGAAACACTCCCTTTAAAGGGATTTCTTCCCACGCAAAGATGTCGATTAGCAGGTATCACATGCGATGAAATAAGCTCATTAGAAATCATTGGTACACTTTTAAGTGGAAAAACTGTTATAGGCGACAAAACTTCTGTATTTCGTAAACATGCTCTTCAATTTCTACGTCATTGTTGATTGCGTCACGGAACGTTTGTAAGAAGTTGAGACGTTGCCAAACAAGCTATGCGAATTGTTAACCAGGCACTCACTTCCAGCACTTCAATCTCCAGATGGAAGGCCGCGGCGGTGTTGGGTGTTTGATGAGCCAAATATCACGATGTGATCGTGTTTTGAATCTTTCTCGCAGTGTTAGTATATACATACATACATACATATACACATATATAAATATGCATATATATATATATACATATATATATATATATATATATATATATGATTTGCACGACATTGTCTGCATATCTTTGCGGCGTGTAGCTCAGAAACTAAAGGTCTTGGGTCCTGAGAAAGGCAGGGCTATGAACTGCATCGAATGGCCTTTGATATTGTTACTTCAGTTCAAAATCCTCTGCAAATATAGAAGTGCAACACTCCCTTTCATAAGAATCCGGAGCGTGTCACGTTTAAGGAAACGCATCATACAGTTGTCATGCTGACGCATTCTACCACGAGGCGTTTTTACCTTTTTTGACCATTCGCGCGCGGCATGCAGCAAGGACATCAGCGACCCGATTGGGCGTCATTTTCGGACCCATCACGAACTCAATATTTCGCACAAAGCAATGTCAAAAAGGCGTGACGTGATTTACGGGGGAAGGGGGCCCTTAATGAGCCGCGCTAGCGACTCTCCACCTCACTTAAGTTTTCTAAGAGCAGGCCAATGTCAGTCGATCACGGATGTCACCACACGAGGCACGGGAGAGACGACGGTGATTTGGTGCAAAAAATAAAGCTTATTTTCAATAACTGTGGTGTGTGCATTTGACAAAAGCTAATTTCCACAACTACGTGAACGCCGTCCAAAAACGTAATACTCAACCGTCATATAGCCAAGAACACTCATCCATAAGATTCGCAGTGCATGGGCGCCTGGGAAAAGTCTTATAGGACATTGCGATTCCACTCCCGCCTCTCACCACCGGCCGGCTATTAGGTCTAAGGCCTTCGAAACAGAGGAAAGTCGTTATCCCAGCAACACGCAGCTGCCATCACAAGAGACAAGGAGAGCGCATATCCCGCCCTGTCTTTGCTGCTGCATCACTGGAGGACATCTGACTGATCAGATCAGTGTGATGTCAGCGAGTCTCAATAGCAACCATCCGCCCGCCGTGTAACGTGACCACTGACCAGCGCATCCGAGCCATCCAGCTGCAGCGAGGTCGGGAAGCGCAGGTCGTGGGTCTCCACACCGGTGATCTTGATCGGGGCCCGCTCCATTGCCGGCTGCTGCACGGACCGCGTGGCCGTCACTGCGCCGCCGCGGCCGGACGCATGGCGCCCGTCCCCGCCAGGGCCACCGGGCGCTGTTTATGTGGTGTCGCGGGCACGAGGCGGGGGGCGGGGTGGGGAGGGGGGGGGGGGCGGGGGGCATCGGCGGCTACGTGCTGAGGCCGAGTAAGTGACGACACCTAGAGGTGCGCTCCACTCAGCTGGGTGATGACCAGTTGAGGGGAGAGCACGGGCAGTAGAGGCTCCCCGCTGGATGGACGGGCTGGACGAGCACACGTCACGTGACTGGTCTATTTGAGTGGCTCAGTTGGCCGCTCGCCAGCTATCGCATCAGTACCCGGTCACGAGCACCCGCGCCCGAGGGCCAGATAAGTGAGTGACCATTGAACCGGAGCGGTCCGTTGTCACCGAAATGTGATATGTAGCATTGTTAACTAAGGTTAGCTCCCAACTTCACCACAAAGCGACTTGAAGAATCACGAACTACTCACAGCTAAACAGGGAACAGAAGCGCAAGCCTAGTGAGCCGTGTAACGCACCTAAATCGTAAGACTAGGAAAGTGCTGCCATTGAACCCACAGCCTAGCAATATCACCAGCTGCGTCCATTGTGTGCTCTGCTCTATTATGCTGGAATTGGCGCAATTTATATCCAGTGAAGGTACGATCTCATGAAAACAGGACGAGGAAAACTAGCATCCGCAGAAAGAACGCATACCTTGTCATTTCCAAACCAAATCTCGTGCCTAAAACAAGTAAAAAACTGTCTCCAGGGGAACACTGCGGCTTTCTGCACCTAGCCTGAAATCCAAATTTTAAAAAATCGTAGTGAGCCAGTCGGAACGTTTCAACAAAAGGTAGAAATTAAGTATGCTGCTCCAACTAATAACCAACAGCTAATCTTCAATCATCTGCCAGTAAGCATCGTTTCATTCCAAACTGACTCCCTTTGAATGAACAAGCTGCACTCCTTAATCAGGAGACAAACGTGCATTTTCCCATCCTGCCTGAGAACGAAATCTCTGTAGGCCCCTCGATGTCTTGCCACACCACGCGGCTCCACCGGTGCGCCTGACACCAGTCAGCACGTCGGTCAGTGAGCACATGGCATCGATCGGCACGTGAGTCAGCGAGTGCATGACATCGGTCGGCACGTGGGTCAGCACGGCACCAGTCAGCACATGGGTCAGTAAGCATATGGCATTAGAGAGCACGTGACATCAGTCGACATGTGGACCAGTGAGCACATGACATCAGTCAGCACATTTATATGACGCTTAGCACACTGACTCTTTTCGAAGCGCACTTTGGCTTTGGGAGACAGGCTACCATATGGTCTAACATGACGCACCGCCTCAAACTTCAACGAATGCACTTACTGACAAAATGGCCTTAGCCGCTCGCTGTGCCAATTATAAATGTTCATTCGTGCTGACGTTCCCTCAGCACAGGTGCCTCTTCTAAGCCCGCAGTCCTGCCACGTGCGGGTTAAAACACCACACAACTGGCACCTCTATTCCGTAACAGCTGACACGGCCCTCAGCGGATTATGCAATCACCATGGCGACGGTAGGTGTAACGCAGACGGCAGTCGCGACAGCTGTGGTTGTTGCGGACTAGGTTATGCACGGGGGATGCCACTACAGAAAGAAGTGTAGTTATGTGGCAAGATGTTGACAGCGTAATTTGGACTCGCAAATAATCGAGATTGATCTCTTCATTGTGTCTTCATGTTGCTTCAGCGTTAAGCTTTGGCTTGTTTGTACCAAATAGCGTTCATTTATCCACTCAGTGTCATCGGACCGGCGGAGAATCTGTCGAAACATCATTTTCTTGGGCTGCGTTCCCCAGGGCTAGCACGTTGCTGATCCGGCAGTTTCTTTTCAAGAGCGCGGCGAATGTTTATGACATGGGACCTGTGCTGCTTTGATTGACATTCGCGGGCTGTAAACATGCACTGTGCCCCCCCCCCCCTTCCGCTTGTGTTGGGCGTGGCTCGGGACAGGGGCTGGTGATTCGCAGAATGCAGTTAATCTGTAACTGAAGACAACACGCGTGTGTAAATTTGATGCAGAACTTCCCTGAACTCAGATTTTGTTGCGCAAAATCGTACCTCAAATTCGTCAGAGCCGAAGCACGTTTCTGTGTTAGTAAGTCTCTCAGGATTCCAAAACACGCAACTACAACACGGTGCTAGCGAGAATCCATCCGAAAGTACGCTGGATGAACTGTGCCTATTAATGTTCCCCCAACACATCACCTTCGCTCTCCTGCCGTGCGCTGGGGCTGTGTTAGGTGGCTATGCTAGGGGAGAGATCAAAGCCACAGCGCAAGATATCGTTGGTTCGTGTGGTAATATCCTTTGTTTGTAAATCATTTTCCCCAAATAAAGTGTTGCAGGCTTCCTTGGCATTTAACACGCAATGATTTGACGGAACGGCGTATTATAAACACCAGAGAAGAGACACATCGAAGACAGCAAAGCCAGTGAAAATTATTACTTTGATAGCGGTGGGCATGAAGTCGTCACATTTCTCCCGCGGGGGCGACTACCCTCAAATCGAAATTTTGTGCTAGCCATAAGGATTTTGAGAACACAGCATTACCAACCAAATCAGACGTGTCTTATCTAACAATAAGTGACATGGGTCATCGTTCAGTCGTAACAGACGGCCAATTCCTCAGCAGCCTAAGGTCAGTCATCTGAACGGACCAGGCCAACGAGGGTCGGCCCTGGGACAGTCTCAGTCTAGCAAAGCCTCACTGACAACAGGAAGGCCGGCAGACCACCGCAATGGTGCTGCCGCCATGCGTCATCAGCCCGAGTAACGCGTGACGGCTCGCAGCCGACACTAATGAGCGCATAACACAGGCCCGCAGCTAACGCTGCTGAGCGCATAACTCAGGCCTGCAGCTAACGCTGATGAACGCATGACACGGACCTGCAGCCGACACTGATGGGCGTTTAACACAGGCCTGTAGCCACCGATAATGAACACAACACAGGCCTGAAGCCAACGATGCTGAGCGTATAACACAAGCCTGCAGCCAACGCTGCTAACCGCATAACACGGGCCTGCAGCCAACGCTGATGAGTGCATGACACAGGCCCGCAGCCAATGCTGCTGAGCGCATAACACAAGCCTGCAGCCAACGCTGATGAGTGTAAAACACAGGCCTGCAGCCAACGCTGATGAGCGCATAACACAGGCACTTACGACGCGGCATCATATGTCTACTAAACACAGGCATTTCCGACGCAGTCTCATGCAGTTACTTAACAGAGCACTTCCAACGCAGTCTCGCATCTTCCAAACTGCATTGCAAACAGAGCCGGCCTCGTGTGACGCCGGCTGGAAGAGCCCATTGCTCACCCCGTGATAGAAAACAAGCTGTTCACGAATCGACTGTCCCTCCAAGCCACCACAATCAGACGCTAACCGAACCGTATCCAGAGCGGAATGTTGGGCCAGAGAGGCGGCCGGTGCGCTTCCGTGACGCGGCCAAACTCCAGCTGCACGCGACTCTCGAGCGCCGCCACGCGCTCGGCACCGACGCCGTACAGCCGGAGCATCTGGTCGCGCCGGCGCCGCTCCGTTTCGGCGCCCAGCTGCAACGGCACCGGCGCCTGCTCGGCGCGTCGACACCGCTCTCGCTCGCGTCTGTGAGTCTCGGTGGCCAACAGCATCCTCAGGTAACCGGCCCGTGCCGCCGCGTCCGGCGCTGGCTCCTCCGCGCCGGCGTCCTCACGAGGAGTGGTCTCTGCGTGGGAGTCCTCACGGCTGGAGTCTTTGGCGGCCAGACTGGACGCGGAGTCGTTCGCGGGAGGAATATAATTGTACAGGCGAGGACACACGTCCACGGTAGAGACAGAGGTGGTGGGTGGATAAGGTGCAGGCATGAAGCTATGCTGGTGAGGTTGTGAAACAAAAGTGTCTGGGTTGTGGAGCAGGTACTCAAAATGGTACTGACACCACCTTTGAGCAAAGTCTTCCATGGCCCCACTTCAAGCTGGGAGCATTCAGCACCAAGGTTCTGAAAATGGAATTGTGTCACCACATAATCACATACACCAGCCATCAGGCAAGAGATCAGATGATAAAAAAGATGAAAGTCACATCGCTGAACAAAACCATGTTCTTGAAGAAGAAGGCAACACAGGGAACAATATTGTTTGGAGCCAGGTATACCCAACAGAGAGCTGACTTATTTAATCAAGTTCATCTCATTCATTAATTTCTAAGCATGTCTTTGTCTGGCTCATGCATTTCTTAATCAAGATGCACATCACACACAAATATGTCAAGATGAAGGTCAAATTTGTACAAGCCATTGCAGATGGGTTCACTCTTCCTGGGGTCCACATTGGATGATCAAAAGGGCTGAAAATATTTGTTGTGCATCATGCACAGCAAAAACTTTCTGGTCCTGGTGTCAGTCAGAGCACATACTAGATGTGTTTTCTTATTATCTTTCATGGGGACAAATTTTAAATAATGAAGAGACACAAAAAGAGCAGAAGTCAAACCACCATATTAAAAAAAGATAAGCCACTAAAAACATAATGCCTACTATGCAATACTGAACTTACCATACCCTACGCAGGAATCAGAATGCTGGCACAGGAATCAAGTCACCTTTACCTCAAGTCCTGGGCATGGGGTTGTGCCACAGGGTATTAGGTCAGGTACCCATGGATGCCTTACCCCTTACATGCACTGCCTGTGATCATCAAATTTCTTGATGATCATGTTATACACATGAAGTAAGATCCACATTCCATTTTGGAATACAGGTTTATATGTGCTCATGGTGGTGATGCTACAAGCACCAGACCTTCACACAGTGGCAATGCAGGAAGTGCTTGTGACAGCTAACAGCACAATCATATGAAGGCCCTCCAGTCAACATAGGTCTTCTTTGAAGTGAAGATCATATATTCATATCCCACCTCATTGGCAGATTTCTTACAACTCTAGAAATCTGTCAAATGTATAAAATTAGGCCAAAATGAGAAGATCAAGGGCATCGTCAGCATTCTGATGATAATGTACATTAATTGAGGGCAGGGTTTCCATCAGGTTTCCACCGGAGTAGCCTAGCGTTCAGTAAAACGGCCCGGATCAGCTAAATCTAGCGCGCAAGATGTACAATATTATTATTAACACATGTGCCAGACATTTTGAATTCCTAAAACACCTTCCTATTGCTCTATGTCCTATCATATATCAATAAATGGCGTTCCCACCCACAACAGTCACTCACAAACGTTACAAACCCCCTGTCACATGGTCGCCCCAGGCGCATGGACCGGTGTCGCAGCTGTCTGCTGCATGTGGTGAAGTTCACCAACACTTCCAGCTGATTGTATGGTGACGTCACAAAACCACAACATCGCTGTCAAACAGTTGACAAATTCGTACGGGATCGCATGTATCTCGTGGAGGATCCAGAGAGGAGGCCACGGCAACCTAGTCCTTCTTGTGGTCCCAAGCCATAGGCTCTGTAGGGGGCCAAAGCCAACAGAACGGAAACATTTTTCAGTACATAGCGTAACAAAATCGGACATCTTTGGGCCTCCAGGCGACCAAAACAGTCGCCAGCAAACGTGGACGTTATATGAAAAACAAAATTATTTTTTTGCTTATTGAAAAGGGTGGTGATGGAAATTTAAGACTACGCTATCCAGAGTCCGCTCTTGCTAGGGGTCCTTTACATCCACTTACCGGGTTGGTCGGATTGGTAAGGAGCCTTCCAAGTTGCCATTTATTTTTTGCATTAGGTCCTCCGAGACCCCTACGCTGTTGCCTGGGCAGCGATGAAGGCAGTAAGGAGGAAACTGGGGCATGTGTTCCCTCCTCCTGGCCCGACTCGCAGTACCGAACTCTCAAATGCCAACCAGGTGGCTTCTCTTCGTCGACTGGGGACCCCCTGAGTCGATGAGGTCCCCTTCGTCGGTCAGGCAGCATCATTACTTAACAGTCGGTCCCGCGTCAGGTTAGACCTGAGGATCAATTTCCTAAGCAACCACAAAGCAAAGGCCAGTGATTTGCATTGGTTGAGACCGTGAGTCAATGAGGGCCGCGGGTTGGTCAGGAGTCCACAGGGGGTAACAGTGGGCCATGTGTTGGCAAATGTCCCCGAATCGACCAGGGCAGCGTTCGGGGAGGTTCAAAGAATGACCTAAAATACCCCCTCCCGAGGCTGGCGGTCAAAGGCCCACTTGGAAGGCTGAAAGCCCGAAGGCCTGGCTGTAGGTAACATTCAAGATCCCAGTCCTTAAAGCCGTCACTTCAAGGGTCAGAGAGATGAACCTTTGCATCGGTTGAGATCCCCCGGGACAATGCAGGTATCTAGTTCGGTCAATGACCATCGACACCCAAAAGTAAGCTCTGTGTCGGCTTCAGTCCTGGGGGCCCATTTTCCGAGGAGGAACAAAGCCGGGCCCGCGATTTGTATTGTTTGGGGCGTCTGAAAAAGGAGGGGCAATATGTTGCCCAGCGGCCCAAAGTGCCGCCGGCACTTTGGGCTGTTCGGAACAGGGAGCCTTTTGTTGTAAAATTCCGTCTGGTCCCGTCTTACAAGTATAATTATAATTTTAAGTGAGTGTATTTCATCATATCTAACGCCTGGTTCAATATATTCAAATATGGGACATTCCCGTTAAAGACGACTCTCCAGTGAAAATCACCTTCCCCAATCAATGGATCAGGGGCACATCCGAGTGAGAGGCCCGCGGGTGGGGTCTTGACATACAGTCCATGACAACAGAGCACTATACAGTCATGCTATCGAGCGCTTGCATTGCGGTTTCCCCGCGGATTAATTACCGTGGAGCATAGGGGAAGTCAAAGGGGGGGGGGGGGGTCTTAGGTGCGCAGTTTTCCTTCTCAACTTAGTTGTCTTCTGATAAAAAGTTATAATTGGCGCGATTTCTTCCCACTGAGCTCCGTCCTTCATTCAGAACAAGCACGTCACTGGCTATCCGATCTATGGCGGAAAACTACTGAAATAGAGTGCATTCATCTGTCTTTGGAGGAAAATTTGAGAAACTGAGTGATGTGAGAAAGTGAGAACATGTCACACCGACTATGACATTTTGTCAGAAAACAACAAAGCCGGAAAGGAAGAACTGCTGGCATAAGGGCCCCTCCCCTCCCTGCTTGACTACCACTGTGCTGCATATTGCTCAATGCATGGAAAAACCGTTATGCAGGCGCCCGTTGGCATGGTTGTATAGTGCTCTATTGCTATGGACTGTAAGATGAGACTATAATGCATTTAGATGCAGGGGCACAGCCGGGATTTTCACAGGCAAGGGCCAGGAGCCCAGTGAATACTCATCACGCTGACTTTTACTTCTCTGTAGAGAGCCGAGTATGGTGAAGAAACGAAAAATCTGGGGCTAGGGGATGGGACCCATTGGCCCCCTCTCTCGGCTGCGCCTCTGATCTAGTGATTGGGAATTGGGATTTTCACCAGAGAGCCTTCTGTAAAGAGAATGTTCCACGTTTGAAGACTTTGAAGCAAGCATCAGATATGTTGAAAAAAATCACTAAATCATTGGTACACTTTGAAGCGGGAGGGACAGCTACGGGTAACGCAATTTATCGTTTTGGTAAATTGCCCCCTCATACGTCATTGTTTGATTATATCATTCGTAGCCTGGCAAAACATTGACTGAGAGCCAATTGACGGCTGTCTGGGAATCGTGCTCACGAACACCAGGTATGAACGACTTGACATTAATATTTTTCTTGGCCTCAGTCGTTGCATGGCTGATGGAATGGCAGAATTTGAATGACGTTTTTATGGCGCTCTGGATGCCTGTGTGACCTTGAAAAAGCCCGAAAAAGTCTGCACATACTATCGGGCAAGCAACTCAGAGACTAGACGGGTTTAGGTCTCAAAGGGAGCGTCCCACCTTTCAACATGATACATTTGCGAGAGGGTGGCGCACTTGTTGGCAACCACCGCAGCCACTAATGTTTTCCCTCCGTTTTCGAATCGTGAGTGATATCTCTAAAAGAACATTGAGCGCTATCAGGGTTGCCATAGAACACGATCACAGGAAATAGGTGCTGTCTGGCCTGATGAAATATTTCAGGAATCGCGGCATCCTGTACACGCCATCATGGCCACCAAGGCCGCGTGCCTAGTCGAAACGCTGAATCCGCTGAGTTAAGAAAACCAGAGTCAGTGTGTGCAGTAATGACAAGACGGTAGTAGTCGGGGTTATAGATGTAAGTTCTGCTGTTCTGGCGTCTCGCTCCCGGCTCAGTGGTACACTCAGTACGTCCATAGTCACTTCTGTATTTGACACGCGTCACAGGCACTCCACACAGACCGTCCCGCCGGCGCGTTCGTTCCCGCGCCGGCGGCTCTCCGAGTCTTCTCCTTTGTTACTAGCTGCCCATGTAAACAGGGCAATTAAATGGACAGCGACGGGCGGTCAGGGAATTATATGCGGAAAGGCAACAAAGAAACAGGGAGTAGGACATCATAACAAGTAGGGGTAGGAGTAGGGGTAGGGGTAGGGGTAGGGGTAGGGGTAGGGTAGTAGAGGCAGGGTGGCTTAGGCTAGGTTAGCTGCATCTAGTTAGTGTTGTCACGTTACGCTACGTTACGTGACTCGTGTAACCAGGGGTGGATCCAGGGTTTCGTCAAGAAGGAGGCGCGCAATCTTGCGCCCCCCACTTTACAATTTGGGACTTCCTCCAAAAATCATCGCCTTACGATTAAATGAAAAAAGAAAACTAGGAGTGCCTCGTATGCATGTACAAGGAGCTTATTCATTTTTCCAGATCTTCCTGAATTTTGTCGTTTTGAGGCTGAGTTTTTTCGGAAAAGATGGCAAAATAAACTAAAGTTGGCTGCTAAGTACATCAAAATCAGGCATAAACTTGATTCTTAGGCTTTTCACGCCTAATTGGCTGGGCGACGTGGTCAGCTGATGACTAAAGACAAATGCAGACTTTTTGCTTATCTGTCATGAAGGAGTACAAAACATTCTAGCATTTAAAGCATATGGAGAATTTCATGCACAAGTATAATAGGTGCCACAAGTTCAGTAACAAACGGAAAATGGCATAAGATGCTGTCGACGACACGTAAAATCATGTTCGACAAATGTGCATAAAAATTCATCGGTGCATATCTAACTGCTGCCCTAAGACTACAACATCAAGGCCAACATGGCAGGCCCCTGAACGATCGGGAAAGCCCCGGCAGGCTGATATATGGGACCCCGGCCAGGGCACTGGGACCTTTTAGGAAAGGAAAATTTCCCAAGACCCGTGTGCATAAATTAACGTCCCTAATCCATCAAGAGTGCCCCGGCCAGATTAATAGAAGGGGCTCCGATAGGGGCGAAGGGTCGCCCGCAAACGAGATAAAATGGAGAGCCCCACATCGCTGTGGAGAGCCCCTGAGCATCGAATTGCTCGGTGTCTTGCCTTATATGGGCAGAAGTCCGTCCCGGTAGCTCAATAGTCCGTCCCGGTAGCTCAGTTGGTTAGAGCGCCTGCCTTCCGATCCACCCACCCGTGGCGGGGTGGGTTCGAGTCGCTTTAGGAGCGCTCGCTATTTGCCCTTGACAGGTATGGCCTGCGGCCGGTGGCAGCGGTCGCGCTAAAGGTCAGTTGACGTCAGTGGGCAGGACGGACCGTGCCGAGCATTGCGGCATGTTAAGCTTTCGCCACAAAATTCTGCCGTTGACATGGAATTGCGCGATCGGATGGTAGGGGTCAGGGCTCACACAACAAGCACTGCTTAGCGTGAGCTCTGATCCCTGAAATCCATCCATTCAAAGGGTTCGGATCAAATGTTTAAAAAAAATTAAGAAAAAAAATAATAAAACAACAACAACAGCACAAGGCCCACCGAGCAAGTGAAAATAACCAGAGACTAACATGAAAGGCTCATGAGCAACTGAGAGTATCCCAGCATATGGGGCCAAAAGCTTATAAAGCCTTTCGGGCGAATGAGGGGAATCGGCGGAGGACCCTGATCGATCAAGGGTGTCCACGCATATTACCAGATATTACCCCAACAGCAGCGTAGGGCCCTACGAGAAAATGCAGAGAAATCAAGGCAACGTAAAAGGCTTTTTATCGATCGGATTAACTCGGCAAGTGAACATATGGGGCCCCGGCAACAACGTAACGCCTATGAATGTAATGAGCCTCAAAATTGCCCCCAGTCACCAACCTCCCAATCAGCGAAGAATTAAGTTTGCCTGCTGATGGGCTATTAACTTTTGCTTGCAACTGTTCTTGGTCGTCTGGAGACCCAAATAGTCCAATTTTGTTGTATTTTTGTGTTAAAAAATACTGTGTGTGTCCGGCCGGTTATGGGTAATTTTGGAGTCTGTGGTTCCATTCGTGGCACAAGGGGCATGGCTTTGTGCCCCCCCCCCCCCAGCGGATTCGCCACGAGCAGCTTAATAGATGGGATCCGACAAGAACATAGGGGCATCCATTCAACGAAGAAGTACCCAACACATAATGTGGAGCGCTCCGAACGATCGAGTGTGCCCGAGAAGGGATGACATCTCGACAAGAGCGCAGGACCTTCCGCTTCAGTAAGAAATATTCACCACACAATATAGAGGACCCCACAACATCGAATGCGCCAAAGCAGGCAACAGAGAGTACCCAAGAGTATCCAAGATCCAATGTAGAGGGCCACCGAACCATCGAGTGTGCCCAAACAGATCAGATGGGGCCACCGGCAAGAGCGTAGGGCCCGCCATTGCAAGTAAGAAGTACCTGAGACTCAGTGTGGAGGACCCGAAGGGTCAAGTGTACCCGAGCAGGCTAGCGATGGCTCCCGACAGGAGCGCAGGGCCCTATATTCAAATTCTAAAACCCAACCCGCAGGGCCCCCAAACAATGCAATGCGCCCGAGCAGGTCGACGGATGGGACCCAACCAGACCGTAGGGCCCTATGCAGGTGACAGAGAATTGGAAGGGCCCTAGACCAATGACGAGGGCTCATGAGAACATGGCGAGTGTGCCGGTAGGCGACCGAGACCAACGTGAAGGGCCCTGAGTAACCGAGAACACCCCGGCAAAGTTTCGCTGTCCCTGCTTGGGCAATGGGCCCTCCGGCCGACGGCGACACGGAGCCGCCTGAGCGGTACTGGTGGTGTCTGACCGACATACCGGCGCTTATCGTCTCAAGAGATCTCGATCAACGCCAAGGGCGCTCTGGTTGAATTGAAGTGCACAAGCATGCGGGCCAAGGCCCTTGGACACGCCCTCCGGCCAACCATGGATTCCTTCGAACCCTTAAATCGGGACCTCAATCACCGTCTCAAAATTGGACCTCTAAAACGCGTAAAAGGAAGCACGCCTCCCCTATATCCCCCATCTGCGCCACCAAGCGAGAAGAACCCAAGATCAATGTGGCTGACAAATGCAAAGAAATAAAGGGCATTGTAACTTAGGCTCCTTAACTTTCGGATTGGTTCTGCAAGGAGATAAACGGCTCCGGAATCAGTGTTGGTCCTCTGGAACAGCGTAGTGAGTCTTAAAATCTCTGAATCACCACCTTTTCAATCCGTGAATAATTTTTTTTTGTCTTCTCCTGGTCCCTTCACTTCGCCCGCAACTGTTGTCAGTTGCTTGGAAGCCCAAAGACGTCCAATTTTGTTGCATTTTGTGTAAAAAATTGCATCTATTCAGCCAGCCATGGGCCCTTTCGGGGCCTATGGAGACATTCGGGAACCACTGTGGGGGGGGGGGGGCAATGACCGTCCCCCTCGTCTGGGTATGCCCCTGCTTGTCATCAACTTCTCTGGTCTTTCAGTGACGTCACGATTTTGCACCGGGCTGCATAACTTGTAACTTCTTCATTCGATATTTCAGTTACGTCATTAATTACTTGAGAGACGTTACCTCAGGACATAGTTGTTATGGGGCCTTGCCTCAGCCGCACGTTCACGTTACATTCATTCTCGATTCCGAGACGCGTGCGTTTGCGGTAGGCGGCACCGGCTGAACGGTCGGCACTGTTTATGTGATTTTCGCGCAGTTATGATTTATTATCGTTGTAAGAACTATCTTTAACGGCTGCTTAAAGAGCGTGAGTATTGTTCCTGTTCTTCATACCATTAGTCCATAGTATTCCAGATTGGCATTGCAAGAAGAAAATCGCTGTTCTCTTGTAATTAACGATGTTTTCTATAAACAGGACGTTTGATGTATATGTTCGTTTAAAGGAGTGGTGTATTCCTTTTATTTTGACGCTTTATGGTGATGCTGCTGTGCAGAGGACTTCCCATGCTAAAACTTACAAATTAGGACATATTTGTTTGGGGGAGGGGGATGAATCATGGTCATTTTGCACCATTTATGATGCTCTCATCTGGGAAAGTTCCACATCTGCATAATTTTTTAGCATACTCTCTTTGCCACTAAACAATATATCTTTATCAGTAAGACATAGTGGACATTATTAAATGTTTAAACAACTTGAGGTGGTAGCTTCCTCTCAGTTACAGTACTTACACATATCTAATGTTAAGAAAACACAAATACCATAGCTGAGATGCATGGAGCTAAAGCTCATTTTGCACACTTTTGTTATTGCTAGGCTTGAGGTGGGAAGTCAGATGCGGCATGCAGGCTGGAAATTGGCTGCGTAATAAACTGGCTTGAGGATGGCTTAATTTGTGCCGTTGGTTTGGTGCCAGAGGTTCAGGTCCAGGTCCAGGTTGTCAGGTCCAGTCGCAAAATATGCACACTTTCTTTTTTATGCAGTCCTGATAAGTGATCTGCACAGCAGAGAGAGATACATAACTTTTGTTATAAACAAGGCTGGAAGAATATGGCAGCAAACATCATCTATAGGATAATGCCCTTAGACTCATGTTAATCAGAAATAGGATGTTTGTTCTTCATTTTAAAGTAAAATATAGTGACCTTTGTGCAACAAAATATGAACACCTGTCTGTTTTTAGCTGAGAGACACTGAAATAATGTTAACTTTTTTAATTTTTCCTTTTGCAACATTTTTGGCTCAAATTATTTCAGACAGCAAATGGGTTATTGGGAGCCAAATTGCATATGATAGGGGTGATCCCGACATTGGTAGGTAGGGCGACTCAACATTAGGGCTGCTGTGGCTCTGCAAAAGCATGTACTCTTTGTGAACTTTGTTATGCTTTTTAACCTCAGAGATGGATACTGGTATTGATTTCTTGAGTCTGATTAGGTTATAGGTTAGACATTCTAGGTTTCTGTGGACCAGCAAATTGCTTTTTGCATGTATTTTGGAATGCACTTATTTGGGGTTTGAACAAATGCAGAGAACATAATAAAGCAAGAAGCATGTTCCATTAAGCACAGTAATGCCATCACCATAGGCAAGACTGGTCTTTGACATGTGCCTTCACCTGTGTGTGCATGTGCATTACATGCATAACAGGTGTTTTGTGCTCATGTAAAGATGTTATGCACCACCTTCCATGGTGCAAGTTTTGGCCGTTAAAAGCGAATTACATTGAAATAATCAAAGTCACGGTAATAGATAGCACGTGTCGTTGTTGCCCATAGCTGTTCCATACCAGTAAATTGATAGTGCTTCGCACCTGCAGGGATTTGTACTAAGCTGGTCAATAAATACACACATATGAATCACCATTTCATGATGTATATAATGTTATTTGTAGGCTTGGAAACCACCCAAGCTGTAAAATGGGGCTCAATTGACAAGAGCACCATTGGTGTCACTGAATTTCAATGGATGTGGGCTGGGAGGTTACTACATGTACACAATCCTTGCTTTGTTGCAGTCTATTAAGTGCTAAGTACTGTCCATATAGTTTTCAGGATCTGACGGGTAGGGTCAAGACGTGCTGGCATTACAAACATTATGTGGGTTGTGTTGAAGCAGGCACTGGTAGGGTATGTAGCAAGTTGCAATTCTGATTTTTGTTTTTTTTGTGTTCACACATATGCTTAGGAGTTATCAGGTATGCGGGTTGTTGGCTCATAGCTTGGGGCAGATGTTATTGGTCCACTAATGGTTGACAGACTTTTTATATAGTGCATTCTTGTTTGAACAGGGTAATTAGCAGTCTTAGGCTGCAGCAATTTCAGTCTTTTGTAACTTTGCAGCATATTAGTAAATGGTATCATTTATCTTGCCTTGCCTGTATAATTAATCTTGCCTTGCCTATATATATATAGTTCATCTTGCCTCAGGCCCTAAGTTGATTAATGATAATGATTGCTGGATTATGTCTCACTGGCAACAAGGACCTGTTCAGGACAGATGCCTTGGGAGGTATGTGTCATGCTGTGGTGGCATGGTAGGGGCTCAGAGCCAAGGCCAATAAGTCCAGAGCTGATCATCCTAGCCCACAATGAAGCACTTTTCCAGAGACCAGTCTTTCCAAGGTGGTTATGGGAAAAATGTCACTTGACCAAGGTCATCCAGCAGGCTCCTAAACCAGCTGGCTGGATTTTATGCAACCCAATTTCTGCTACCTTGGCCAAAAGTCTGGTATCACAGTTTTTTCATGCCTTTGAGCATTTCCTCTCTGGTCCTGTTGCTAAAATGCTATCAGGGAAGCTTTGAGTCATCTGTGCTTGTGACTGTTGTCAAAGTCTGTGTTTGTGCTTGTGAATGTTTATCCACTTGCCCAGGTGCCAATTGGGTACACAAAAGGTGGCATACCCACTTCAAAGGGAGTGTTTTGCATATGAAGGCATTCAATCAAGCATGATACATGATGAAACAAGCTCAATTGCAACTTTTGGTATACTTTTTGAATGGAAATGACTGCTCTAGACAGCTCACTTCTCTGTTGAGTAAATATACTCCTGAGTGCGGCATGGTTTGATTATTTCATCATACCTTGCACATTGATTGAGGGTCAATTGGCGGCCATTATATTGGAAATGGTGCTCACGAACGCCAGATATGAACGCCTCAACAATTATATTTTTATGGCATTGACCGCCGCACCGCTCATTGAATGGTTGGATTTGAATGACGTTATTATGACGTTATGAATGCCAAGGTGACTTTGAAATACACTCCCCGATAAACCTTTTACCATTTTCGCGGGCGTTAGAAATAGCGCCAACCGGTAAAGATACACTGACCAAACCACAGGCTGCGGGATAAGCCGGTTAGATTTTAAGGAAGCAAGGTGTTCCGATCGAAACGTTATCCAGCTTATCTCTTGGTGCGTGCATGCCCGTGTATAATGTATGTGTGTGTCTGTGCGCATATGTGTCTTACCTACCCTTGCACTTCCCTATCTCACTGGGCATGTCAGGTATTTGACACCGCCCCCACACACTGTACCCCAGCCAGCGTCCGCGCCCCGCGCCCTGCCGCTGGCCCGCCTCACCCTGTATCCTTTGTTGCCGGCAGCGGCTGCTCCTCTGGTCTGCGCTGTTGGCCGCGCCCGTCGGCGCACGCGACATCATCATGCTCCTGGCGCGGATCGTCCGTGGCGCGCTCAAGATCCGCTATCTGCTCCTCGGCGGCACTCTGGCCGGCGGCTACTCCATCCAGAAGGTACGTAACAGCTGGTCCAGGGAGGACTGGGTCAACGTCAGAACTCGGAAAATAGCGCTGTGAGGAAGGAAGCAGAAGTGGTTGATCATGAAAGAGCACTGGCTGGCGGGAGCTGTACTGTCTCTGCGTTCATCCGAGTGCATATATTATCATTACCCGTCACCGTTTAATGTCAGATATGTCCGGCTTGCAGATGATATCCTTCGTTAGCTGCTTATTTTGAAGGTGATGTTAAGATGTACCGGCAGGGGAAGGGCCTGGGGAAGAGGGAATCTTCATTCACACGTCGTGATTGCCCGCACATACCTCGTTCGTAATGGTCGGCGTGCAGGTGCTGGTAGTCCATGACGCGTTTCGCAGTGTCCAAGCATATTCACATAAAGGTGTATCCTTCCGCAGTCTTATGAAGACTTTAAGAAGGGTCTTCCAGATGTGGGCTGGTTGAACAATATTCTGCCTTCGAATGAATCGGTCGACGCATTCAGGGGCAAGATGATCACGTTCAAGGATAAGTTCAGGGATTCGTTTTCTGCCATCGAATTCGGTAAGCTGCGCGCTATGCTTAGAAGGTCATGTGATGTGAATTATATAAACAATGCTCGATTTGGCCCTGACTCGGGTTGGATAGGTGATGAAGCGTTTTCCGGTATTTATCACACCACCCGAGAGCGCCAAATTTCTATACGAGTGATCTTACATTGAGTTGTGTGGCCAATGCGGAAATCGGAGGACGAAAAGTGCGCTTCTAGCTAAAAATAATGTCAAGCTGCGTCGCCACGTCACACATTCTCTTGCTCGACTCTGCATAGCCTGGACTCGGCACAAAGATATTCAGCTAAATCCCAAAGTACGTTAATCCATGCAGGGCTCCGCTTGTCATCCTGAATGCTGAAATGTCAACTGGCAATGTGGCCGGCAGATCCGAAGACAAAGGAGCTGTATGGAGACAAGATGACCGACTTCCGCGAATGGTTCCAGCAGCGGCTGGACGACGCTATCAAGGCTTCGGAGGGTGCACCGTCCGGCGACCCAGGTCTCGCCCCCCAACCGCCACCCCAACCCCCTCCGCGACCTTGCCTGTTGGCTGTAATAACTGCCACCGCCGCTTGCTCTTTGCTATTTTGAGGCCCTTTTACTCGGATCCTCCAAGGGGTTTTCACGAATACGTGCATTAGAGAGCATAATAAGCCGTCTTGAGGTGTCGACCGTGGAAATTCCCACTGTAATTTCAAACTCTCCGAAACACGTTCGCTGGCGAAGCTGCCGAAATGTTCGCAGCTTGTCACTTGCGCGCCACGATAGACACGATCAGAGATCACTGGCGTGTGCATCATCTTACAAAAACATAGACACGACGCATCGCTATACCGAACAGTACCGTATGTGTATCAGGCGTGGGGACGGGGCCTCTGGCCTCGACAACGAATCCAACGCCGAAGCTACAAGAGTGAGCTGAAGAGCCTAGGCAGTGAGATGAAGCGGGAGCCGAAGCCGATGGCTTTGAAGTTTGCCGCTGCAAATTTGAAGCGGAAGCCAGCAGCCTCGTATTTTAAAATGTGGACTCGAATCCAACGCCACTGGCTTCAAACTGTGGACGCACAGAGCCGAGGCCGCACTCAGCGGCTTCGGACTTAGGGAACGCGAAGCTGAAGTCAACGCCATCATTTCAATATCGCGAGACCGACGCCAAAGCAGTGTTAGGTGTACAACGTCATGTTGTGAAATCGACACCATTTTCGCGTCCACTAAAACTGCGATCAGACAAGATGGCGGGGGTTTGGTGTAGTGATTGGGAGAGGTGTTAACATTACGGACGGAAGATAATGTTGGGTTATCACCTCTCTCCTTTGTGTTGATATGTACACGGTGTTTTGGACAGATAGTGCAGCTGCTGCCAGGCGTAAATTGGCCCTGAGGTGCGGTATATTATAGTGACATGTCGGGCAAGATCGTTTCCGCGAATTAAAGTCGTAGCTGCAGTGTAAAACAATGGCTGATAAAGGAAAACTCGTAGTTCAGTTTCGCATGAAGCCAAAGCCAAAGCCATGACTCAGATATCGTTCGAATTCCAAGCCGAAGCCGAAGGTGGTTGATCAAGATTACACAAAGCCGAAGCCGAACTCGAAACTATTTGAGGAAGTCCCCTGATTTGCGAAGCCGAAGCCGCGCTTGGTTTCGTCCCCCTGCCTCATGCGCCCAGCTGCCTTTCCATGTCCTTTACACGCTGCATGTGCGCTCCAGCATACATGGCTCTTGATAGTTGAAAAAAACGACTCACAGTCCTGAAAGAGCCACCAATTATAAAGTCAACACCGCAACAGTTGTGCCTTGGGAGACTGACTCGGGATCAGGGGTGATGCAGTGGTTAGGATGCTCCCTCTGCACTTCTCGGTCTTTAATTGCGGTCCGGGCCACACCACTACCACATCCTATCTGGTGCCCAGTAAAGACATCCCGTCTCGAAACGGCTCTGGCAGACGCTGAGACGTGAACTCCCAGGCAATCATATATTGATTGCCTCGCTGGCATGCAAAGCTGCTGGATGCACCGGGACACTCGGTAGAGAACAACATAGTTTGTTGTGTATATTTTATCAGCTTGCCGCTGCTGCGTATGCATTTGGCTGCCGCCCGACCCGCTTATTTGACGCCGGCCGACCCTTTTGTAGTATGAGATCACTGGCTCCAGAATGCGAGCACCTGTCGTAGAACACGGTCGTGTCATGTGTCTCCACACTTCTTCTGTTGGGGGCTTGTACTGTGGGTGGCTGCTGGTGCAGGGCAATGGACGCTGATTCTCCCACGTGCTGGCGATGACACGAGTAATGATACATGATGTTTTCGACGCAAACCTCACGATCTGTACATTTGACAGAACATCGTTTTCTAAGTTTGTTGTTCTGTCCCGTTTATACTCCTGTTTTGCTTTTAGGTTTGCGTTTCCTTGGCCTTGGACCATTTCAAACAGGTGTGTGGAATCAAACCTTTCTACCAAATGGTGTATCTGAGTAATGTATTGGCATTGCAGTGCCAGTTGCTTGCAGTTAAATGCAAACTGTAGATGCTCTTACGTCGTATCATTTCATGGTCTGGGACGTATTTTAATTGAGACATATAGCTCTCTTCTATTTATTTCCATACCTCCTTTCTGTACTTGAACTGTTAATGTCCTAGTATTGTGCTCCATCATATTGTAATTCACTCGTTCTCCATTTCATTCCTATGTTGGCTTTTGCCGAGTTCTCGGGTCACCATTCATCGTCCAGGCATATAAGTTGTGCTCTGTTCGTGTCTTGTGATGCTTTGGTGGAGACCTTGCTGCGCGGCGGTGCGCCGGTTTCGGTGCTGCGCGGCGTCGTATGGCGCGCCTGACGCTCCGGCCGCGTGCCGGCAGACCCCGGTGATGGTGACCCGATGGAGGCCGCGCCGGCCGCCGCGTTCGCCTTCACACGGCCCACCACCACCTCTGGAGACGACACGAAGCAGAACGGTACGGCGCCGCGCCGGCGCGACGGAGACCAGGCCAGGGAGTGGGACAACACACAACAGGCTGGGCTGCGCCGGATGGGATCACTGTGCCCCAGGGACTATACCTTTCTATATACTACAGGAACTACTCCTTTCACCCAGTTGCCTTTGACCCCGAGACTGAAGCTTAGAGACCCCGTGCACACCGCCCGGCGACCCCGAGCGTGTCGCTCGCCTGTTAACCCTGGTCCCAGTCACGCCGTGACTCTGAGCTTGCTGCTGCCTGCAGTGACGATGCAGCAGAAGCTGGACTCGCTGCAGCAGGAGCTGGCGGATGTGCAGCTTAAATATCAGCGCGAGCTCGAAAAGGTCGAACGCGACAACAAGGAGCTGCGCAAGCGTCTGCTGCTGCGCGGGAACGAGACGGTGGTGCAGAGGAAAATCAAGGTGCGCAGCGGCGTTGCCAGCGTGCCCACAATTGGGGGGGGGGGCGGGGGAGGGGGGAAAAGGGGACGTTGTCATCTCTGCCCTCGCGGAGATGCCGTTCAGTCCTGTGGCCGAGTTATCATCGAATTTTAATCGTCATTTTTGTAGTTTGATATTTGATATTTTGATGTCAGTAAGGATCATATGTTGGATCGGCGGAATAATCTCAGCGTCAGTATCATGTCTTGCGTCGTTTCCCGCGATGGCCACTGGTATTTATCTTCCATGCTCCTTCCCTATGACTGGTTATTCCTTTGCGCAAAATCTTAATCGTGTTTGTTGAAAAGCGAGCGCCTTTTCTGCGCGTTGGCTTGTTTTTTTCCGTAGGCCGACAAATCAAACGCCTCTCGGTTTCGTTGGCAGAAGTCATTGATTGACATGTATAGCGAGGTGCTGGACGAGCTGAACGACTACGACTCGTCATACAGCACGCAGGACCACCTGCCGCGGGTGGTGGTAGTGGGTGATCAGAGCTCCGGCAAGACGTCCGTCCTCGAGATGATAGCACGCGCCAGAATATTCCCCCGGTAAGGTCTCCATCCTGGAGATGATCGAACGCACCGGGATTGTTCCTGGTAGACATCCCTCTTGGAGGTGATGTAACTCGCCTGGTTATTAGCACCTTCATCCGTTAAGATTCCCGTTTTTGTGATGAATACTCGCGTGCGGATCTTTTCCTAGTACTCCGTTTTCGGTATGGTCGCATGCCGGTATGCCCCCCGTAAAGCATTTGCTCTCGAAATGATGACACGCACTAGTACTTTCTCGTGGGTGGACTTTTAAAGATCTAATTCAAACCGTTTGGATGCATGGATTTCTGGAATCGTAGCTCAGAGCTAAGCAGTGCTTGTGTGAGCCCTGACCCCTACCACCCGATCGCGCAGTTCCATGTCAATAACAGAATTTGGTGGCGGAAGCATGACGTGCCGGAATGCTCGGCACGGTCTGTCTTTTCCTCTGACGTCATCTGATCTTTTTGCGGCCTGGAATACGTTACATTCAAAATGCAACTTGAATAACAAAATGCAGATGCAATTTTATAACAAAATACTTTCAAAACGCAAAATACATTCGTCCTGGAGATGATTCCTAGAATAGCAGTCTTTTGCGACAAGACTTCCATGGTGTGTCAAATCGATGAGGATTCGTGATGCGTCAGATCGATGAGGAGCTGGCATGTGGTGCCGATTCGTATGTGTCAGCCGTGACTGGGAAATCGCTCCTCGTAATCAATCGACATTCATTGGACACCAGGACAACGAAAACCAAAGTCAGCCATCAGCCGTTTAACCAATCACGTAAAATGGTACGCTTTTTTAAGAAAATTGGGCGACAATGCTACATTGGTTATGTCGCTGGCCTCTGGACCTGTCGGTCTAGGGCTCGGCTCCGATCACGCGGCCACCGCATCCACATAATACCTCATAAAGGTACGCGTCTCGGAACAACCCTGGCGGTCGGTGAGAGGCAAAGTCCCCATACGCTGTTATTATACCTAAAGATAAAATTGTGGACGCGTTTACAGGTTCTTTTTTTGACGTTTTCTTAGCAAGTGCCTGGAGAGCCGAGCTAAGGGTGGCTCGCTCGCTTGCTCGCTCATCCTGCATTAACGCGCACAATTATTTTAGCTGTTAACTCGACAGTGTCGTATTTTTGCGAAATGGCGGTCATGAGCAGTGATCGCCATTGACGCCATCGACCATCTCGAGAAAGATGCTAGCTGGAGTAACGAGGCCTACACGTTAGGTGGATGCTATGGTGAATATTGGCGTGCGAAAAACGCATGGCCTCAGCTCACTATCTCACAGAACAGTAAGCAATGTGGCTGGGCACATCGTGGCGCGGCTGGGAGCAATCGATATGGTACCGACTTTGTCGGTATTATGAATCCCCTCCAGGCGAAATTTTTTATGCTTTCGTGAAACGAATATTTCAGTCGTAGGACAGTGGAGATATGACGATCTCTCGGATGATGTGATAATTTTGCCCTAGTAATATATCCATCCTTTAGATGATCGTGTATACCACGACCATCCTACAATGTGCCGATTAGCTATAATACTTCAGGTGAATTGGAACAGAAACATGTCTATACGCCAGCATTCCAAGTTAGTTCCCTTTTCTGCTGTCGTTCTGTAGTCAGGCTCGCCTGTGTGGTACAATATGTGTCGGTTTGTAAAATATGAACTGTCATGAGGTTTGCTGCTTTACGGTGGTGCAGTTGGGAGGATGACAGATGGTCCGAACCAGATGACTATCGTGTGACGAGCGTTGTTTGCCCCACAGCGGTGCCGGCGAAATGATGACCCGCGCCCCGGTCAAGGTGACCCTCTCGGAGGGCCCATACCACATTGCCCAGTTCAAGGACTCCAGCCGCGAGTTTGATCTGTCCAACGAGACTGACCTCAGGGATCTCAGAAAAGAGGTATAGCTTTGAATTACTTGATCAGATCAATGAATGTGGAAGCTTTTTACGTTTTCAATTGGATGCCCGCTTTTGGTGGGTGGCGCGCGCGAAGTTTTGAAAAGTCGAGACAACGTATGGATTTTGTTCCTTCGCCTTTGGAAGGCCCGTCGTCCTGTTCAGTTCGCCTGCAGTGGCGGCACCAAAGCGTGTAATGCACACCGCCACTCAGCGGGCGTCCTCAAACCGCGCTCCGGGCACCGCCGGCAGGTGGAGCTGCGCATGCTGAACTCGGTGCGCGGCGGCAAGACGGTGAGCCAGGAGGTGATTTCGATGACGGTGCGCGGCCCGGGCCTGCCGCGCATGGTGCTGGTGGACCTGCCGGGCGTCATCAGCACCGAGACGGTGGAGATGGCCGTGGACACGCGCCAGGCCATCAGCGCCATGTCCGAGAACCATATGGCCAACCCCAACGCCATCATCCTCTGCATACAGGACGGCAGCATTGACGCCGAACGGAGCAACGTTACGGGTATGCTGCGGCGCAGGGTATGGTGGGGCCCATCTGACTCTGGTATGGGGTCGCCCGGCGAACGGAGCAACGCTACGGGCATGCTGCAGGGCAGGGTGTGGTGGGGCCCATCTAACACTAGTATAGGGTCGTCTGGCGAACGGAGCAACGCTACGGGTATGCTGCGGCGCAGGGTATGATGGAGCCCATCTGACGCTGGTATGGGGTCGCCCAGCGAACGGAGCAACGTTACGGGTATGCTGCAGGGCAGGGTATGGTGGAGCCCATCTAACACTAGTATAGGGTCGTCTGGCGAACGGAGCAACGTTACGGGTATGCTGCGGCGCAGGGTGTGGTGGGGCCCATCTGGCACTGGTATGGGGTCGCCCGGCGAACGGAGCAACGTTACGGGTATGCTGCAGGGCAGGGTATGGTGGAGCCCATCTAACACTAGTATAGGGTCGTCTGGCGAACGGAGCAACGTTACGGGTATGCTGCGGCGCAGGGTGTGGTGGGGCCCATCTGGCACTGGTATGGGGTCGCCCGGCGAACGGAGCACCGTTACGGGTATGCTGCGGCGCAGGGTGTGGTGGGGCCCATCTGACACTGGTATGGGGTCGTCCGGCGATGATACCGCCCGCTTGACACGTTGCGGTGGCTACTTGGGTGTGTGTCCAAGTGCTCATCGACAGCGGTTCGTTAATCAGTGCTTAATCTGCTTTGTAAAAGACTACGTAAAACTCGATTGTATCTGCTTAATGGTGCACGTGCAGTGGGTGTGCGAACTATCGAACGATCGTCTATCGCCGAACGAACTAACTATCGTCTTGATGTCAATAATTGTGTGTGATTCCAATGGCAGGTTCTGCCATCCAATGGCAAAATCTGCCATTAGAATGTTTGCGTGCGGAAGTCTGTGGATAGTTATAAACGAAAACATTTTAGGGTGGAGCAATGTAGGCATATCCGTGTATCCCTCACCAAAATGGATTATGTACTGAATAACATTTGTTTTTCCTCAGAGCTAGTTTCAAAAATGGACCCGACTGGCAAGCGAACGATTTTTGTGCTGACGAAGGTGGATTTGGCTGAGCAGAATTTAGCCAACCCGGACCGAGTAAGTAACCCAGCCGTGAGGAAATGCTATAGTGAAATAGCATCATAACATGCTCGTTTGCAATGGCTTCAGTAAGTCACGTACGGTTTTCCCGTGGTTTTACTCACCAAACACCCCTCTACGACGTCGTTTATCCAACGGACTCCATATTACGTACTCATCCCATGGGACTTCGCTTCCGTCTTGCTCTATATGCTGTGCGCCAGGTCTGACGGCTATCGTCGGTCACGTGTGCCTTGTTCTATATGCTGTGCGCCAGGTCTGACGGCTGTCCGCGGTGACGTGTACATTGCTCTATATGTCGTGTATCAGGTCTGACTGTTGCCCTTGGTCACATGTGCCTTGTTCTATATGCTGTGCACCAGGTCTGACGGCTATCGTCGGTCACATGTGCCTTGTTCTATATGCTGTGCACCAGGTCTGACGGCTATCCCTCGGTCACGTGTCTTGCTCATATGCTGTGCACCAGGTCTGACGGCTACCCTCGGTCACATGTGTCTTGCTCTATATGCTGTGCACCAGGCCTGACGGCTATCCTCGGTCACGTGTGTCTTGCTCTATATGCTGTGCACCAGGCCTGACGGCTATCCTCGGTCACGTGTGTCTTGCTCTATATGCTGTGCACCAGGCCTGACGGCTATCCTCGGTCACGTGTGTCTTGCTCTATATGCTGTGCACCAGGCCTGACGGCTATCCTCGGTCACGTGTGCCTTGTTCTATATGCTGTGCACCAGGCCTGACGGCTATCCTCGGTCACGTGTGTCTTGTTCTATATGTTGTGTACCAAGGACGGCTGTTCCCAGTCACGCGTGTCTAAAGCATCATAAAATCTCCCCTGGGGGCCTGTTCTACTTTTAACTGGATGGTGCTCCTCGTCCGGCCGACCACCGGCAGCCGTCCGTGCCATCGCACAATGGTCTAGGTTGCGCCGCGTTTCCGGCTGGCAGCGCTGTCTGTTTTGTCCCGCCGCAGCCCTTCCCACGCGGTGACCGTCTCCCGTTTCCCCAGATACGGAAGATCCTCTCGGGCAAGCTGTTTCCGATGAAAGCGCTCGGCTACTTCGCCGTTGTCACTGGGCGCGGCAGCAGTGACGACAGCATCGACGAGATCAGGAACTACGAGGAGCAGTTTTTCCAGAAGTCTTCGCTCTTCCGGTCAGGGCATGATGCCTTCCTGTTCTGTTGAAAGTGCATATATCGAGTGGCGGCTGGGCGTTTCCATGTCGTCTGTAATATACTCACCCAATGCGGTATGTAGTGCAGCATATATTATAGCTGATGGCTGCCAGTTCAGTTGTAAACAAACCACCCGCCTTACTGCGCGTCATCTGTTTGTGTACATTAACTTTCATGGCCCTGTCGTTGCCAACTGATTTGAGTGTTCAAGGGCAGTGATTTAATCCATGTTTGACCCAGTATATGACGTTCGACTGCAGACATGGATTGCTGAGACACATGATGTTGTGTCAATGTAATTTGTGCGTTTGCGCGAGTCGTGATCCATGGTCACCTGTCGACGGCACTGTGCCGTGTACGACATCATGTTAGGTGCCAATTACCGTCCACCTGTGTGATGTTCACGTGGTCGTTGTAACAGGCCTGACCATCGGACTCTGCTGACCTGAATAGAGGCAGGTGACCCACGCGGCGTGCATGCCGTTGCTGACGTCGTTGTGACCGATTTGAACGCAGGTCGGGAGTGATGAACTCTGCCAGTGTACCACACGCAACCTCAGCATGGCCGTCTCCGAGTGCTTCTGGAAGATGGTGCGGGAGACGGTGGAGCAGCAGGCGGACGCCTTCAAGGCCACTCGCTTCAATCTCGAGGCTGAGTGGAAAAACAACTTTCCCGGGTGAGACGCGCCGGCACGTGGCCGTCTGGTGGTGCGGCCCTGGACCCCGACGTTAGTGGGTTCTGGACGTCAGGCTGACGCTGAATGTGCTGACGGCGACGACCGACAACCGCGCAGGTTTTGACGTTAGCGTGGCAAAAAGATCTCATCTTATTTCCACTGCATTCGCTTGGTACCAATGCCTGGTAGCCTTGGTGCTAGCCTGCTGGTCAAGTGCCAGCAATCTGCTGTGTGTGTGTGTGGGTGTGGGTGTGGGTGCGGGTGTGTGTGAGTGTGTGCGTGCGTGCGTGCATGCGTGCGTGTGTGCGTACGTGCGTGTGGCTCAGTCCGTGCCGGTCTGCCGGGACGCTCGCTGCCCGGTGTCCGGTGTGTGGAACCGTCTAGTCCCGTCCGGCCCGTCCTGTCAGTTGCCGGTGTACGTGAGTGATCGGACACCTCTGAGGCTGTGTTTCTGTTGGCGCGACGGTGCTGCAGCAGTGTCTGGGAGCCCTGGGTTCTCACGGCGGCGCTCCCGCGCCGTTCACAGGCTGCGTGAGTCTGGGAACCCTGGGTTTTGACGGTGGCACTCCCGGGCCGTTCACAGGCTGCGTGAGGCTGGGAACCCTGGGTTCTGACGGTGGCACTCCCGGGCCGTTCACAGGCTGCATAAGTCCGGGAACCCCGGGTTCTGACGGCGACACTCCCGGGCCGTTCACAGGCTGCGTGAGGCTGGGAACCCTGGGTTCTCACGGCGACACTCCCGGGCCGTTCACAGGCTGCGTGAGTCTGGGAACCCTGGGTTCTGACGGTGGCACTCCCGGGCCGCTCACAGGCTGCGTGAGTCTGGGAACCCTGGGTTCTGACGGTGGCACTCCTGGGCCGTTCACAGGCTGCGTGAGCTGGACCGGGACGAGCTGTTCGAGAAGGCGCGTGGCGAGATCCTTGACGAGGTGGTCAACCTCTCGATGGTGTCGCCCAAACAGTGGGAGGAGGCGCTCAACAAGCGACTGTGGGAGAAGATGGTGTCCTACGTGTTCGAGAAGATCTACTTGCCGGCTGCGCAGAGCGGCAATGCAGGTCAGAGATAGAGCTGCTGCATTAGGTTTTCGGTGGTACTGAAGTTGCCAAAGCTGAAGCGGACGAGTTGTTACCATTTGACGTCCTCACCGCAGTCCGAGGAGCTACCCATGCCAAAAGCGGTAGCCAGTTAACGGCTACCGTTTGACAAACGGTAGCCACTAAGTCATACGGAAGCCAGTTGGTCATACTGAAGCCAGTTGAGTACGCCAGAGAGCTGGGGGGGGGGGGGGGGGGGGGGGGTTCGAGTGTTCGGCTCTGGACCTGTCGGCCTTTGGTTCCAGCCCCTGCCACTCCATCACTGCATCTCACATGATGCCTAATACAGGCATCTGTCTCGCAATGGCCCTGGCAGTTGGTGAGGCAATAATCCCCAATCATTTCTATGAGAGCCTGTATGGTCAGGCGGCCAAGACAAGCTGGCCGGAGTCGACACCAGTCTGCCAATGGCGTAGCGTTGCGACGTGCACACGGCGGCGGGCGCCCCGCCGGTGGATTTCGTCCCACTCCCGTCCATCTCCTAGCCCTGACATTTAGTTTATACCAGTCCTGTTGGGGGTAACGTGACCCAGCTGCCCAGGTCCGGTCCGTAAGCAGCCGGCTGACAGTGAGGGTCCTGAGGTCAGAGCCAGCATTACTCCGCGCTGCGGACACACTGCTACTGCCTGTCGGCTGAACACTGACTTAGTGCAATCACTGGTACTCTTTCGCCGCCAGAGATCATCCCCTGGTGCGGCAGTTACACCAAATGGTCACTGCGACCTGACTGGCATCCACCACGGGAGATCATCTGGTGTGACAGTTACACCACAAGATCACTGCCACCCGACTGGAATCCGTCATGTGCATCGGATCGCAGCGATGCTCATCTTTTAACGTGTAATACCTGGCCTCAGGTACCTTCAATACCACGGTGGACATCAAGCTGAAGCAGTGGGCGGACGACAGCCTGCCGAGACGCTGCGTCGAGGTCGGCTGGGAGACTCTCGAGGAGGAGTTCAAGTGCGTGCTACCCGGCATTGATAGTCGTGCCGATTATGCCTTTTTCCCTTTCTTGTGGTGCTGATAGCCGACTCGTCGGCAAAACTGGCGCACCTTTCGTCACCGGTGTAAAGACCATCGCCAAGTACTGGCACCTTTCGTCGCCGGCGTAAGGACGCCCAACTACTGGCACCTTACGTCACCGGCGTAAGGACAGCAAGTATTGGCACCTTATAGTCACCAGCGGAAGGGCACCAAGTACTGGTCATTCGTCTGGTTCATTGGGCCGAAATTTAAGACGTTTGTATGCAGTAATGGATCTTCAGAAGTCAAGAGTACACGTGAAATAATGCAAGCGAAATGATGCAATGAAAAGAAAACAAGCGGTTAACACAAACTGCGTAATTTTTCACCCACTATGTTTGCGGTGGGCCTGGTTTGTAACCCAGCGCGCACCCTCAGGCGCTTCATGTCTCGCTCCGAGCGGCGGCGAGACCACGACAGCCTGTTCGACCCGGTGAAGCGCGCGGCGGTGGAGCAGGCGCTGCACGACCACGACTGGGAACAGCGCGCCGTCGAGCTGCTGCGCGTCATCCAGCTGAACGCGCTGGAGGACCGGGCCGTGCACGACAAGCGGCACTGGGACGCCGCCGTGCAGTTCCTCGAGGAGAGCATCAAGGACAGGCTGCAGGTGCGCGGCGCCACAGCGGCGGTCCGGGCGACGCCCGCCGGCCGGTGCTCAGCTCTGAACAGTGGCTGGATGCCGTCGTTGCCTGCTGCTACCGGTTAAGGCAGCAACAGACGACGCTTTGTATGGCGCCCGCGGTATACAGCCGTCGTGTACCAGCGCGATTCACCTGCGCTTATTTGTGAGAGTGTCGGTTAGTATTTCGGGCCAGAAGATGTGACGTGGTTTGTGTGTCGTGCAAGTGTACTGGACCCTGGTGGGACGTCAGCTGCCCCAGCTTGACGTGTCAGACGTGTTAAGGTCCGGTGCAACACACTTGGTTGAGCTGCCCCTCGATGCTGGTGTGGCCTCTGTGTGGTCGGTGGCAGGATGAGCGACGGATTTGATCAGATCGGTCAGCGGCGGAATGGCCGCACCCTGGTACTGGCAGCGCGCTGCGTCGGTGTGTCAGTGCGTGCTCCGTTCCCCAGACGACAGAGCAGATGCTGCGCGAGATGACGGGCCCGGGCGTCTGGGAGCGCTGGCTGCACTGGCGCTCCGCTACCAGCGAGCACGTCCGGAGGGCGGCCGTCCGCACCGAGCTCGATAAGGCTCTGCACGCCGACTACGTAAGCCACACACACAGATAACGCTACAACTGCATTGGCAAAAGAAATCGGGCATTATGGGTTTAAAATTTGGGCAGGCAGCTTAGTTGCGAAGATTACGGCGCATCTGTGTGCTGTTGTGCGGGTTTTTCCAGTGACGGTGCTTTTGAATCGGCTGGATAATGTGCTGTTCATGTCAGTGATTCACTGAGACTATGATGTTTGGATCGTCTGCCCCAGGAGCACCCGCCCCAGCTGGGCTACGACGAGATCATGGCCATCCGCAACAATGTCAAGACGAGCTCGGGTCTGGAGGTGGACAACGAGCTGATCCGGGACACGTGGCGGCCCGTCTACCGGCGCTTCTTCCTGCGCAAGGCCCTGGCGCGCGCCTACGACTGTCGCAAGGCGTTCTGGCTCTACCACCAGGACGTGGCCGAGCAGGAGTGCGACTGCAATGACGTAGTGCTCTTCTGGCGGATCCAGCAGATGATGCGCACCACGGCCAACACGCTCCGTCAGCAGATCATCAACCGCGAGGCGCGCCGGCTGGAGAAGCGGATCAAGGAGGTGAGTTGGGGGCGGGCACCGCCTGTCGGGGGTCAGTGTGCCGGAGTGCAACATGCAGTTGGGGAAATACCGCCTGTCGACGGGCCAGTGTACCTGAGGCGTATCATACAGTGAGGGGACACCGCCTGTCGATGGGTCAGTGTACCCGAGTGTATCATACAGTGGAGGAGACACCGCCTGTCGAAGGGTCAGTGTACCTGAGTGTAGAGCGGTTGAATAGCATTTAGAGCGGCTGTATATGTAGGTGGCGCGCCTGAAATTTATCCTCGCGTGTAGGATTAAGGCTCCTAAGTTTGCGCGATCCATTCCAGGTGCTGGAGGACTGGAGTCTGGACGCCGAGAAGAAGCGCACGCTGCTGACCGGCCGTCGGGTCAGCCTTGCCGAGGAGCTGAAGCGGGTCCGCCAGGTGCAGGAGCGGCTCGAGGAGTTCATCAATGCTCTGCAGGACGAAAAGTGACGGGTGAACCGTGCCGACCCACTCCAGAACCAAACGTGCGTGAGATATCGACGCACTTTAGAGCAACAAGGGTTGTTAGGAGTATGCCACGCGGCGTGCTCAAGGACGAAACTGAACTTTGCGAGAGTGCATGAATGAGCATGAGCTATGCGTGGGGTTTTGCATCCCTGGAACAAAACCGGAACTGCAATATGATCGCCATCATGACCCGTTGTTAGTGGCGAAGGGCGGCAGGACCCCTCGAGTTGTTCAGCCGGCACGTAAGCCGGGTATGCCAGCTTGCCTCGGGATAATTCTGCGAAAGGCATCGAGTTGGAAGCAGGCACTGTGATCTGTCCAGCCTGCGTGCCTGACGTGCCGCCACATGGTGCCCGTGTTGGCCGGTAGCGTGCGTCTAGCGCCAGTGAAGTCCGTTTGCTGTGAATCCCGTCGTCCAGGGCTCTCCGGAGACTTTGGACTTTACTGGGGGCGGAGAGCGTGGCCGTCGATTGTTGCGTTGGGCATACTGAGCGGTTGAGAAGGGGCAGGACGCATTGAATGCATCCGTGGATTACCTGGCGACGACGTGCTAGGGCAAGTCTATGACGTCACGGCCGATTGCGTGAGACGGCGCGCAGCCGGTTCCGATTGGTGAGCCTTGCAGCCCGGTGCTGAAGGCTTTGCGATGTTTGTACTGTTTTGTTACCGACCAGCCGGAGAGAGACGAGGGGTAGCTCATCTGAGCGCGTACTCTGGTCAACAGGGACAGCTCGTCTGAGGGCGTACTCCTGTAAACAGACGACTTGTAGGGTGCTCTGAAGCTTTAGTGGTGCCGCGGTCCGCGCAGGCGATTTCATGTCTTCAGTCAATAAATCCTGTGATCGTGCCGTGTTGTGGCATCATTGCAAAGTGCTGGAAGCCAAAAGAAGTATAGCCAGGAAGACTGTCTGTGCATCTATTGCGTCAATCCGTTCAGGGGCGCTTGTCGCTGCAAGGTTGTTTATTTCGCGTCGACGGGTAGTGCGCTATGCCCGTCTTTCCTGGGTGGGGTCGGTGCAAAGCACGGGTTTTCCATCACGCTGCTGGCAGACAAGGATCAGCCCGTTTGCCGCCTGCACAGTGGGCGGGTTAGACTGTTAACCGAGGTAGGTCTGTTAGACTGTATTAGACCGAGGTAGGCCTGCCGATCCGAAGCCGTGAGCCTGCTCGGCGCGGCTACGTTGCAGCTGTCACTTTGTTACAACAGCGAGTCGCGTTTCTCTATACGTGGCGTGTGACTAAGAACGTAATGTCCATGCTTTGTCCGACGCTCACATTGCTCCAATATTGTTCGTTATTGCACAACGGGACCGTATTAGATACGACCATGGGTCCATCCGCAGCTGTCTCCACAAATGTATCAGATTAAAGCCATTACCTTATTCGCCGATGTCAATCCATCCGAGTCCATACGCAGTCGTTCCGCAATACGCCGTCCTGGCGTGGGACTGCGAACGCGTGCAGATCTCCGTAACCGCGGTGGTCGGTGCTAGGCTTCAGCCGGAATACCGAACATAATTCGGGTGTTTATAATACTGGCTAGAACCGCGTGTGTTGCTCCGCATGGTGTGGCACTTACTGTCCGTACTACAATTTCTGTCATTTGTTGTCCTAGGAGCGATACGAAAAGTAAAACTGGCCCGACTAGCGCGGCAGCTGGACAATACCCTTGACATTGCTACAACGTTGGTGGGGATAGTCACGCAAGCATTGGCTAGCGCAAGCTCGGGTCTCAGAAATCTATCCATCCAAAAGGGTTCGGATTAAATCTCTACAAAGGTGCAGGGTGGGGGTCAGGTTTGTTTTAGCGGCATCCTTGTCTTAGCCCCAGAACATATTGCATAAGACAATACTTCTAGGCTTGTTCCTGGTCGAATAGCCAGGAAAAACGAGGGACAGATATATCAATAGATCAGCAACATGCCTTTATCAAAGCCATTGAGTAGTTCATCACGGGATCATGTACGGTACACACTGGTATTGTACTACAGAATTACGGTGTTGCATATGGTATATCCGATACAGTATTAAACGACAATGGAACGGAGCCGGAATAATAATGCAACTAACTATTTTCGTCTGGCAGTTTGACGAAGAATAGGGATAAAGGTACTGTCGGACGTAAATGAGCAATGCTCCTCACAAATGCACTTGACAACTGACGTCCCAGAATACCCGTGATATTTGTTGCCAATAACTGACAATTTCGACGAGATTGAAGTTCAGATCACTGCTAGAGAATAAATATGATGCATCGACTCTAGAAAACTCTTGCTTCTTCCTTTTCTTCATTGGACTACAAAAGCCTCACATATTTCAATTAACACCGCAGATGATTATATCCACAGCCCGCGATAAAAAGCCCAGGTAACACAGTAAGAGCCTTCCACGACCGCCGTGCAGCTACTGCCAAGTAGTCGCAGAGATCATCGATGCCACTGCCCAGAGATCAAAGTTTAGAGTTCTTCATTACGCTCGCTGCCAAGAGCGTGCTGACGCGGCGAAGTTTGCGTGTACAAACAAAACGCTGTCCATGTACACGCACGGTGGTTTAACTGGGTAGATCTTTACCCCCTATCGCCCATCGGCACAGATGGGGCAAGTTCGGCTACGGTATTCCGCTACCGGGTAATATCTAAACCAATAGGTTGCGGTTTGCCAGGTATTGGTACAGCATCTGGAACCCTGGATCTCGCGTAGGCTGGATGGTATGAGTGCTGGGTGTTATGAACCTCAGGTGCTACGGTTTTGGATGCTGCGCGCTTGAATGCCGTGATTTCCCTCTGCCCAGGGACATTGGTCGATTTTTGGATGTCATGAACGCTGAATACCGCGATTCTGGACGTTGTGACCACCGCCTATGAATTCTGGATGTTTCAATACGCATTGGCCACTGCATCCTTGAAGCAGGTCACATCATAGATCAGCCACGACATGAAATGAGCAAATATGTCCATTCTCTTCCTCGACTTGTCAGTGCTGCGAGATGACTTTGCAACGAAACGATCCATCGCCACGCAGCCGTACTGAACGCAAGTGACCAACTCAGGACATTTAGAGCCTGAACAACGCTCGCCGCCGCTTCTGTCGACATGCCGCGAGGCGTGTGGCTGCATTACAATCATGAGCGAAAAGCAAGTTCGTTGTTCTGAAATACATTTCATGTTTTATTCCAACTGCATTCGGGACTGCATGAGATTCCCACTCCTGTAAGAAAACAAGAGAACAGGCGTTTCGTATCACAACAAAGTGATAGTAACCTCAGTACTATCTCAAGCGGCAAAGATGACACACTTCATTGGACAGTATTAAAAAAGAATGTCAGTCATCGCGAATACATCTCGCAGTTCAAGCAGCTGCCTTTGCCGTGCACTCAATTCTGTCACCTCCATACCGTACCCCCCCCCCCCCCCCCCCAGTCACTCAATAAAATCGGTACGATACATCTGCATTACCCACCCACGTACCACAGATCTCGCGCCGATGTGGACTGCTTCCCCAAGTCGCAAATCGCGTGCGACCGAAGTCCTGGAGTGGTATTCACCAGAGGTGAAATCAGCACATGCTTGACGCCCGTCAGATGTCACGACCAACCCAGATCCCCCTTAACCCGTCCACCATTTCTGCCCCGCGCTCATATCCGTCCCCGCGGCTTAGTGTGCGTGTCGAACAGCTTGCGCACAAAGAACACCTGCAGGCAACCGGTGGCGACGACCACCACCACCTGGATCAGTGACCAGCGCATGACGTAGGCGTTGTTGGAGATGAGCAGCTCCCAGTCGCTGGCCGCGCGGGACCTGGAATGGCTCAGGTACTGCTTGGAGATCTGCACCTTGTGGTCCACTAAGCCCAGACCGTTCTGTAAACAGCGTGGGCGAGGGATGCGGTCAAGGTGTGCACAGATCATGTCAACTTGGGGAAGTTTTGAAGCTAAAAGAAACAAGGACAGGCAACAACGTTGTCGGGTTAAACATTGCCATGGCATAAGGTGACCTTGAACAATTTCGCTAATAAGGGCGCAAGGTGAAGCCTCCGTGCAGAATGACGAGCATCTATAATGACACTTATCTGGTAATTACACAAGCAAGTTATACCCAGAGCAAACATAAAGTAATTTCGGATAAGATGGGGCCAATATAATACGGACGGGCAAAAGCAAAATGCACTCGAAATGCCCGATGAGTTTATCACATGAAGAAACAAGATTAATTCATCACTAAGGTATCGAAAGCTAACTGCAGAAAGCACGAACTCAACACAGGCCTGACACCATAAGAGCGCAACGGCATGTCCTACGTTAGTGGAAAAAATGTTAGTGTTCTGTGAAGCCCTCTTATGGCGCGGCTTACCGTAAAATTGGTAGCGACGATGTCATACTGCTCCAGTTCCTCAGAGTGTTTCTCCCATTCATCGTACCTGTAATCAAAACAAGCTATTTTTACCAAATTTCAGGTCCCAACGTCGGGAAAACGCGTTACGGCCAGGTAAGAGGCCATGCCAGAGAAAGTTGCAATCACAAGGAAACTTCTGGAAGCACGAAACTCTTAGAACACTTTTAGTCGTAGATGTGGGCGTCGAAAAATGCCGACCGCCATAGATGAGTTTTTGCAGGTGCTACTTATTTCCGCTCTGTCAGTTAATTTGTAGTCCACATTCCAACTGCGGACCACATTCATTCCCGGTAGGCTAAGGTCGGGGTGCGAATCTGGTGAAATGGACATAGTGCTTGGGGTAGAAGCACACCTTTTGCACCCACACTTACGATAACCACGCTGATTTCTTCACACGCACCTGAAAGTGGTCAGATACATGTTGACCAGCTTGCCGGCGAAGCGGGAGAACTGGTTGTCGATGCAGGAGGTGAAGTATCCGCCAGTCTCGGACGTGGTCTCATACTCGGACTGCTTCTTCCACTGGTATGGATGCACCAGCTGACCGGTCGGATCCCGGACGGCGAACCCAGTCATGCCGTCTCCCCCCACGCAACGTCTGGCGACACAAACAGGAGGTCATGGAGAACCCCCAGTCACGCGGCACACAGAGTGCATTAGCACCGTGTGTGACGACCTGTAGAAAACCTGGTCATGGACGATTTAGGGAACAGACGACCCAAAACTCATCACAACAGCGTCTGAAGGGCGCCTGGGGGCCACGGAGGGATGCGAGCGGGCGTCGTGAGGGTCCTCGGAGTCTAGGGTACACGGCGCACGGTCGCACGGGACTCCGCTCGAAAAACGCATCGGCATGCTAAAAAACATGGGGACACAAAATGTTTCGGGGGGGACACAAAAGGGGGCGGGCACCGCGGAAATCGAATCCAGTGCCTCTGGTCTCCCAGGCATGCGGTGGCTAACGAATATGCGTTAACTCCTCTACAATCGGCACCCTTAGGTCTCCAACCATCCTGTTCATCTGTATGAAAAGCAGCTTCATCAACTCGAGCGTACACTCGAGAAACCCCCTAGCTGAGGGGTTTCAGCCTAGCGTCTTGGGGGGACGGTACCTCCTCAAACGCAAATGCTACAAACATGAGACCCAATAGCAGCAGCGGCAAGCTGTCAGGGAGACGATGTTAATTAAAATACGCTTTGTGATCGAAGGTCAAGGTCAAGGTCGCCAGACGTCAAGAGGTTTGATATCGAAGCTCAACGGAAATTGTTATTTAAAGGGAGCCCAGCCGGCCATCGAAATGCTTCGCTCGGTAGGCTGGACAAAATCACATTTTTTGGGGTGTCGTATGGAAATAAAAAAACACAGAATAGACTGCGTCGCTGGCAGTCCTTAAAGGCAGTAATAAGTCAGACTGGGTTAAGGTCAAACCGAGACAAAGAAACAAACAATTTTGGGGGAGAATTTTTAAGTGATTTTGTTCTAAACGTGTTGGATGCATGTATCGCATAAGACACTTCTATACGTGCCATTAACAACGGTCACCAACATTTCATGGCCGATTATGCAAAGGTCATTAGTGCCTTGATGTGTGATGCGTGCTACACTGAAATCGTTTGATGTACGGGTGATGCTTGACGCGTGATGCGCGATGCCTGCTAAATTGAAAGCGTTTGCGTGGATAACTGGTGCGTGATGCGCGATTCCTATTTGCTTGAAATCGCTCGCATGCATAAATGATGCGTGATGCGTGATGCCTGTTCACCTGAATTCGTTTGCATGTACACGTATTTTTCGTGAATTTTAATTATTGATTGGACATACACTGTATGATAGTGATGACTGACAATGGTTCATTGTTTATTCCGCGAATGTTGGTGAACTGTAAAAACTACTGCTCGCTGCTAAGAAAAAACCTGAAAAAATCGTCTTGGATCGGCAGGAAATTTTGCGTTTACTACTGATATTCATATTGATAAACGCGTACAGCCGAAATATCAACGCATATATCTCTCCAATCTCCTGATGATTCCGCCAGGAATACGGCTATTAGTGATGTCCTTGTATACATAAGGTTTTTTTTGCCAATGCATTAAGCGACTAGCAGTGAGCTCCGCTAAAACTTCCTGCATTCTGTGCGCCCTCTTATCGTACGCGCTACCAACTATTCTTCACTCGAAGTATGTGGGCCTCTGGCATCTCTCAAAGCAAGGGGTTCCGGTAATGCGTTTGATCGTCACTATAGCTCACCTTTCTCGCCACGACCAATGAATGAGCGACGCGAGCGTGTTTCGTCGTTTTACTTAAAATACTGGTCGCCGGCGACTGGACAATCGACTGGTGTCATTTTGGCGACGCGAAAATATTGAGTTGGGACCGTTTAGATTAAGGTGATGTATGAACGGGACAGTGCACATAATGGCAAATGAATGTGGGTAAATAAAGGCGATAAATCGACGCACACGGTGAAGTAAATTTAGCCACGATTTATTACGATATTATAATTTGGCTGCGGTTTCGGCGACAGCGTGTTTTGTTCGGCATCGTTTTCAACATGCTGACATTTCTGGCTTTCCCGACCAATACTGGCACGACCATGCGTCGCATAAAATCGTGTTGGACACGTGAATTAACGCCTGCCATTAGAGCAATTAGTGCTTTGCTCAAAACTTAAATTAGCAATTAACACTTTGCTTTTCCATTGGATTTGCACCTCCATGTACTTTGGCTACCGAAACACAGTACAAAACGGAAAAAGCATTAAACCGGCCAAATTGGTCTTGGCCGCTTCCGTGCACGTGTCACGTGCGACAACACATTTGGCACCACGTGATTCTCCGCTCGATCATCCAGCTAAGCGTGTCAATTTCTCGTCTATTTGTTAAGCCAGTCACGTGACGTTCGCGCGTCTTCCGGCTTCCTGTTGAGTCTGTCGTTACTAGTTTCGGGTACTTTTATTAGAGTTTTAACATCATGTGTTCGAAGTTGAACGCAAAGTAAATCGGACAACTATTCTTGCGGTAACCGCCATTGGAAAATTCATTATAGTACGTCGACATTTGTCTGAGTGCCGTTCGAAACTCCGTCAGCAACCAAACTGGACAGCAACAGATGCATTAAGACGCGCAGATGATCGCCTTCAAACAGCGAACAAACCTTCGACTGGTGTTACGAAGCACGCAACCTGACGAATGTCGTCATTCTGTTCACACATCTGACACAGAAGTGAGAACTGAAACCCGATACCCAGCCGGTGGTCAGTCCCGCATCCCCGTGAAAGCTGGCGCAAACTCACGTGAAAGCTGACGTAAAACTGAGCTCCGGGCTGGACGTACTGGTAGAAACATTCTTCCTTGCCTGCCTCTACCCCAGATACGGTAGTCCATGGCCCAGACCCGGCGCCATGATGTCAAACTCGGGATCGATGGGATCCGTGCCTGAGGTGACGCAGAACAGCTGTCACACACACGGCATCGATTTTCACAACCAGACAGCTGCAACGGAAGTGGTTTGTGAAGACACCTGCCATGATCATGCAAACCCTCCGTCCGACGTGCGTAGTGTATCATACCACACATTTTCCTAATTGCCGTATAATCAACTGTCCCGCTGAGGTATGCCTGGTATTATAATGATCCTTACAAATGGACTTGAAAGATAGCAAGGCTTGACACACTTTAGACCCAACCTTTCCAAAAAACGAGTCCCACTTTCAACAACGTTTTGGGAAGACCCTGCGCTAATGACAAACTCATGCTTGCGCCGCAGCACCTGTTCTAATGTATACTTGCCAGTCAGAAATGACGCCTCCATAAATATAATGTTGATAACGCTACCATCATTCTCTTTCAGAGAGCAGAATGCATTAGTAGACGGCGCGCCCGTACCCCCCCCCCCCCCCTCAACCACCCCCATCTTTCTCCTTGAACTACTAGTCAATAAGAAGCTAAAAAAACGGAGCCAAACGACGAGCACCACCCGAACCAAAGCTTACGTATTTGACGGGAAGGTACCGATAGTTACCGCATGCCCCATAAATGGCGGCTGCAATACCGTCAGAAGTGAGTAAACGAGCCCAGTGAACTTTGACACACGAAAGGTTTATGTCCACGGGGCTTACTTCAGCCAGCCTGTGATCACCCATAGGAGTCCATTTTTGTAGACGTGCTGCTAAACGATGGATATGACGAAGTTCGGTGAACGCACCACCGGGTGGTACCCGTTGTTCTTTTGAAATCTCGACAGAAGAAATAGGAGACAGGACACGAAAGCAGCGACAGGTTCAAAGACACATATCGCACGTACTGCCAGGCAAGCGACAAACGGAATAGCTGTAACGAGGGATATACCCAGCATATTTCCCACACGAAAGTGAACTGTCGAATTTCCGGCTTTGGCCCCATTTGCTGCGAAAGGATATAAGTGTAAACATCATAGCTCAGGGAGGGAGGGATATAGTCCCCCGGTCCCCGCCCCCTCGGCTACGTTCCTGGATCTAATACATGCAAAATCAGTCGCCTTTTGCCGACAGACACTTTTTGATTTCATCAAAACTAATATTATCGTAGTTTCAAAGAAAAACTCAATTGGGGTGAACCGAAACACAGCTCGAAGATTTGTGGAGGGAGGCTGGGAAAGGTGAGAGAAGGACGCATACGAATGGCACTGAGGAAGTGCCGTCAAATCTTCTGGAGGGCAGTTGTCTTATAAAGGTACAATCTGTCGCGACAATAAAGTGATTCCCTTGGTCCATGAATCAACTGTTGATTTCACGAAGCCGAGTTTCTAACGATTTACTCCAGACCTTTGATTGATGTCTTTGGGATCCGATCCAAACCCTAATCAGCGCTTGTTGCGCGAACCCTGACAGCATCATCATATCGTGAAATCACGGACCAACGATAGCATTTAGGGCGAGAGCTTAACGTGCCGCATTCTCGGCGAGGTTTGTGGTGCCCTTTGACGTCACCTGACCATAACCCCGCCGGTCGCCACCAATCGCAGACCATCCTAGTCCCCGCCAAGCCACAAACGGGTGAATCAGAAGGCAGGTGTCTTAACCAACTGAGACAGCGAAACGGAGAACACTATATGTCGATTAAAAATGCGTGGCGGTGCGTTATACTGATTTTCTCGTGCTGTCCCGAATCGCTTCGCTGTCGCGCACTGCCTTGAGTATACGTGGACCGAATGACCGTGTGCGTGAATCGTGGTCAGAATCGTGTACACGAGCCCAGTGACGGAATCCGCATTACCCCTAGCATTTGATGGGCGCGAGAACTGCTTTATGCTAATGGAGGGGACTCGATGAGCTCCCTTCGTGTCAAGGGGCTTCTTAGTGGATTATCGGGAGTGAAAAGACGTTTCCTTCCCCCTAACAAGACCCACATTTCTAAGCTTATTTAACGAATTGCATGCAACTAACACGGATCACTAGTTAGTGTCCAAAAAATTGGTATGTCGGGGCGACATATGAATTTACTAGCGACATTTCATCAGCGTACCCAGGGGACAGAAATAGGGAGGATAACAAAGAACCGATAGTGCTTGAGTTCGTGCGGGACAAGTACGATGGTGCGTAGGAT